ATCCTGGGCAAACCATTTTACGCCCCCAGGCCCATACAGGGCTCTAGCAGATGATAGCCCAGGCTTCTTTCATTTCCTGGCTGTGTGAACGTGGCCCAGATGACCGCTGGGCACATTTCCTGCCTTCTGCTCCATCGGACAGTGCCCCGTTTCATAGTCACCCTCTCACAGTGGCCCTTTGAACCCCACGTTCAGTGAGAACATGGGATGTCTGCACCCAGCGCCCGAGGTCACCAGGGAGCAGGCCTCGTGACCCCACACCCCTCTCCTCCCTCGGCTTCTCTGGCTGATAATCCATTTTCTCTGTCTCTGCTTTCCTCCGGCCAATTTCCTAACAGGGCTTTCCTCAGCTAATCCCCTGGCCTGATGCCTCTTACTTTTGTTATTAAATGAGTATAAATGGCAAATTCCTTGAGCCTCCCTGGCCCTCCTTCTCAGAGGCGCTCTAATCCAAGTCCTCTCTTCGCCAAGTCGGAGCTGCAGCCCTTGGTACCAGGCTGTCCGGGGAGGCACAGCCCCAGGCTGGGACGTTCCTGTGCCTTTGCACACCATTTGGATCTTGAGCAAACCCGAGAGGCAAGATGGATGAACAGAAGAGCAGAGGCCTCCTCCGAAATGCTGAGACATAATGTTCCTCTCACGGCTTTCCAGGAAAGGGCAAGTGCTCCTGGGAGCCACACACTTTCTAGGACAAAGATGCCTTAGCAAGAGCAAGCAGGAAGAAGAGGAGCGGCAGGGGAAGGTTTTCCCGGCTGCCTGCCCTGCTCTTTCAGCTTGTGGCTTGGCCGGGGCTAGGCAGGGGCCCAGGGGAGCACACTGCGCCGCAGAAATAGTTTGCAACAACTCCCCTGAGTTATGGAGGCTATTTGTGGAGACGAAAGCAAAGGAGAGAAGGGAGAAGAATTCAGCTCACACCTAATTGCCTGTAGAGGAGCCCGAATCCCACTCTGCCAGGGTAGCTGTGGTTTTCGCTTTCGGATTTGCTCAACCCAGAGTCCTTGCGATGGAAGGGCTCTGGAAGAAGGCAGCCTCAGAGCTGAGATGACACCCTGGCAAGTGAACACTTAGGGCCTGCCCTCTGCCCAAATGCCCCTCCCCCACGTGACTACGCTGTCAAGGACAGCTAACCCGGGGAAGCTGGTGTCCTCGGACGGCCTGCGCCCAACAGGTCAGGGCAAGGGGCAGGAAAGCTCCAAGGGCAGCATCGTGGTTGTGTCCTCACGGTGGGACCACGAGCAAATGACCCAGCCTTTCTGGCCAGCTCTGTCTTCCCAAGTGAAACGGGCCATGCCACCTGCTCTGGCCATCAGGGGGGGACTGTTAGGAGGATCAAGACATGACCGTTCTTTGAACGTGAGGCTGAGATGCGGTTACTCACAGACCCGCTCTCAGAGACAGTTCATGCTGCTGAACTGGATTAGTCACTTACTGGCCTGAATGTAGCCATCTGTAAGCTGGGACTTCCTATCGACGGCCTGTCACTTTGATGGAGACCCACCACACAGAATGCCTTCAGCCCGGGTGCTTGGGGCCACACGATGGCTGAGGCAGGGGCACTCGTATTCCCCCTCTTTGCATAGCGTGTGCCCAGTTCTGATGAGGCTGAGAAGTAGCTATGGGAGTGGGCTGCAGCTGCACAGCTCCCTGATTTGGGATTATTTTGATATTGATTCCGTGCTGCCAGCTCTCTCTTTCAGGGAGAAAGTTCTGGAGAACTTCCTTCCCACTTTTGATAAGCTAATCTCAACCCTTCTCAGCTAAGAGTGTGGGCAGTGGCTACGCACCCCACAGACCTCCATCTTCCAGGGCAGCTACTGCGGCTCCTGGGAGGGGCTGGGAGGAGAGTGGGAAGTGGCTGAAGCTTTGTCCGGGCTCCTCTCCTAAAGCATTGTCTTTCCACTGGGAGCTGGAGTTCTCTGCCTTTATTTTCCTGCAGCTGGGCCTCTGCAGGCTGCCCCTTGGCAATTCTCTCCCAGGAAAAACAGCCTTCTGGGCTGGGGGGTTGGCTGTCAGAGCACTGAGAGGGGCCCGGGCCTCTCCTACTCCCTATTCTTCTTCCTTTGGGAACTCACAGTGCTAAAAACAAGCTTTCTGAGAACCATATTTTTCTGGGTTAAAGGTGAAAAATGCAGCATTTCCTCCAAGTGGAAATCTCTAGGCCTGCCAGCTCCAGTTCTGGGCACATTTCCGAGATCCTTCCTCCCACTCAGGGCGGAGGCAGCTCCCTGCAAGGGGGGAAGACGGGAGTGGGCAGTGGAGGGAAGGAGAGGAGGGAAGTCGGAAGGAAAGCACCAGTTACTGTGTGAGCAGTTCGAATGTGGAAAGCAGCGGCCTGTTTGTGTTGGAGCGGCCTGGAGCCTGGGACAGGACCCGGTCAGGAAATGAAAGGCAAACAAGGGGCGGGGGTGGTGGTGGTCAGGGCAGCCCTTCTGAGTGGGGGGCAGTGGTGGGGGACAGGAGAGGGCGGCTCTGCAGGCTGCCGCCTCCGGAGCTCCTAGGGCCATGTGGGGACAAAGATGACCCCATAGACCTTCCTGAGAGAAACCCCACAGTTGGGCCGTACAGGGTTGTGAAAGTCCATTTTTTAAAAGGAAAAGCAAGAACATTCTTGCCCCACCCCCAGTCACCCTTTCTTAGAACGTGAGGAGTTCTGGGGAATTTTCTCTGATGCTGATTGTGGGACAAAGGCTTTTCAGGAACCCATGTCTCTCTCTATTCTTCCTTCACAGAATGGGGATCGCATTAACCTCTGAGCTCCCCAGCTGCTCCCCGAAACTTTCTCTCCAGCAGAGAACCCAGCCAGCCTTCTCCGACATGCCGCTCCCCACAGCGGCTACCCAAAAGCCAGGGACAGGGACAGATCCCATCTCCCTGCTGTCCTTCCTCCCCAGAACAACCCGCTGCCAAGTGTCAGGCAACAGGTGGAAGGATGGGACTGGGGGAGGGTGAATGCTGCTCCCGTGGGGCTGGGCCTGACCTGTCACTGAGCACACACGGACCTCATCCCCAGCCCCAAGGGTTCCTGCAGAGGTGCTATTGCCACTGTTTCTCTATTGTACCAATTCTTTCAATAACATCTGACTTGCTGTGGTGGATCCATGGCATGAATGGCCCTGATTTGTCACCCCTCCCTGCATCCATGCCCTTTGCCAGGTGACTCAGTAAGTAGTTCTCTCCCTGTGGGGGTGGACTCCAGTTCTTCATCTCTTGAATCTACAGACTAATAGGATGTGGCTGAAGGGCCACGGGGCAGTTCCAAACCAAGGCCACCAATGCTCAGGCCAGCCCCCTGTGCCCAGGAGTAGTATGTGATACGTATGGAGCACACTCCAGCCCCTCACCGTCCCAGCGAGGCCTCCTTAAATTAGCCACCCCTACGCGTGTGCACAAGTCCAACCCAGGCAAGACTTGCAGAGATGCCCAGCTGGCAGTTCAAGGCACATAAGCAATAAACACTTATTGCTGTAGGCCACTGAGGTTTTGTGGTTGTTTGCTAGGCAGCATCATCGAGGCAATCGACAACAGAGAAAACAGGGACATTTGGCATATACTGTCTCCTACACTGAGTCTCCCATGTCATCAGATCCTCTTGGTTCCCTCTACTCTGCTGCCCTCTCACCTGCAGGGTCCCTACTGCCCTGAACCCCTCACTGTGCCACTCCTCCCCCCTCAGCCCCGCCAGCTTCCCACCCAGCTGCGGGTAGTTCTGAATCTTCTTCAGTTCTACACTGTCTCCCAGGCCCTCCTCCCTGGGTCATTGCCTTTCTCTCTGGATAACACACTTTCGTGGGACAACAACTCATCTGCAAGCTGAAGCTCTTCTGGCTTCAACTCAGCTGAATATTTTGCTAAAATCGCAATGATTGCTTTGGCTGGCGGCAGCCCACTCCCAACGTGCTGTGAAGGCAGCCCCATTGCGTTGGGAAGCGCTGACCCAGCATCACGGCAGGGAAAGGTGTGGAGGTGCGTGTTTCTGGGAGCTGGCAGGACCCACTTTCTAGCACATGGCTTTTCTTCAGATTGCACTCACAGGTGACATGGGTAGGAGAGGATGATGATGAGTACTGCTCGACTGCTACCATGATTCCTCTGGTAGGAAAGATTCTGGCCATCAAAGGTTGCCAAAGATAGGAAGCAGGAGATTGGGGCACAAGGTGAACCTCTCTACTTTATTTATTCATCTTTTAGAATTCTTTTTTTTTTTTTTTTGAGACAGAGTCTCACTTTGTTGCCCAGGCTAGAGTGAGTGCCGTGGCGTCAGCCTAGCTCACAGCAACCTCAAACTCCTGGGTTCAAGCAATCCTTCTGCCTCATCCTCCCAAGTAGCTGGGACTACAGGCATGTGCCACCATGCCCGGCTAATTTCTTCTATATATATTAGTTGGCCAATTAATTTCTTTCTATTTATAGTAGAGATGGGGTCTCGCTCTTGCTCAGGCTGGTTTCGAACTCCTGATCTCAAGCAATCTGCCCGCCTTGGCCTCCCATAGAATTCTTAATGTGCTTAAAACTGTGTTTTGCACAAACCTCCAAAGTCTTTGCTTAATGATGCTGCACAAACAAGAGCAGAGTCGTGACTGGGACTAATTATAGGCACTTGCATGAGGTATTAATAGATCATATTTCCCTCCTCTTTGGGGGCAGCATTCATCTCACCTTTCCTTTAGCAAGTCCTGTCTTGGGGATCTGCCAGTGAGCCAGCTGTCCCCAGGGTCACATGGGTGAATAGCAAAGGAGACATCTGATGGTACAGAAGGAAGAAGTCCTATTTCTCTGGTTCTTGCCCAGCTCAGACCATGCCGAGCACACGTCCCTCCACCCACCCGCTGTGCAGCCTTAGAAACACCGTGTCCAGGAGCATGGATGTGGCATCTGCACAGTCAGTAACACCTCCATAAATGAATGAATGAATGAGTTGTAGACTTCTTCATCCCCTTTATTCAAGTCTACTACAAATATTGCCCCTCTCTTAAAACAAGAATGACAGTGACCTACCTCTATAACACATGTCCCTTTTAATCTGCTTATTTGGAAAGCTTCATATTTATCCCATTGGACATTAACATTTCCCGAAAGTGAATGGTCAGCTCCCAAGTTGCCAACTCAAGTTACCAATTCTGCTCCACTGATAACACAAAGGGCCCAAACAAGTCCCCTTGGGGAGAAAATTTTTAGGAAAGTGTGCAAGAATTCAGGGTCATCTACCCAAACTTCCGAAAGTATACTGTGTGGACAGTCTGCAGCTATAAAAATATACATGTACAAAAGTACAGATATAAAATCATGGGGCTCATTTTCTTAAATTTGGATTATAAAACATAAGGATTTCACATTCAAGGTAAACTTTGGGGAGGGGGCCACATTATGGTTATGATTCTGTGTTTATCTCCCTCCATCTTTATTTTCATGGAATAGTCAGAGCATAGCAAGCTAGCCAGTGAGGAATGGGAGAGGTTAATCTGAACAATCCATGGACCAAGGTGGGAAATTTGAAGTTCAAGGTCACACAGTCATTCCGCTGTCATTAAAAGTGTCATGAGTCAGAGGAAAGAAGTATTTTAATACTGCCCTGTGGGTTTCTTTCTCTCTCTCTCTCTCTTTTTTTTAAAAAAATGTACTATGAATCACAACACAGTCATGGAGCTACAGCAGACAGGCTCTGGAATTTGCACTGATGTGTGATCTCTGGCAGCTGCTACACATTCAATGGACAAAGTCCGCTGCTTCCTACACAGAGTATTCTGCTGGGTTTGGCCCACGGAGTGTCAGTGGGAAAGGCCACCCAGGGACTCCTGTCTTGGTTCTCAGTCTCTCATCAGGGTGTACTGTCTCCTTGATGAGAGGAAACACACCTGGTCCCCGGGCCTCTGTGTACGGCATCAGGCAGGGTCTCAGGGCCCTGGGGACTCTCAGGATAGAAGGCTCTGTCCCTCGGGCAAGGCCAGCTGGTGTTACTTGGCTCCACAAGTGTTGATGTTTTTCCCATCCATGGCATCTTCCACGAGGGAAATGTGGTAATCGGTGGACAGGGTGAAATGCGAGATGCAGCCCACGAGGCCTCTCATGTATTGCCTGTTCGTGTGCAGAGCAATTTCCTTCATTCCACCTGCCAGGAAGCAAGAGGGAGGTGTCAGCAGGGGAGAGTTGCGTTCCACTTTAGGGTGCTTGAGTGTCTACTGAGCAAAGGGTCCCTTGATTGACAGGGTGAGGGCTGTGGGTTCCTTGAACTGTTCAGCATCTTTGCCTATTTTATAATTATCCTTGAAGGATCCAAGGTTGACTTGGATCTATTTAGTACACAATCGAAAGCTATAAATACATACCTCGTGTGTGATTTCTGGCCCAACTGACCACCCTGAGACCAAATAGTATCTAGTAAATTCTGAAATGCTATATAATGTCAACAAAATGTAGCATGTAGTTGGAGGTGATATTATCTTCAACCAAAAGACATACACTGATGTTGAATGCTTTCAATTAAATTCACTTTTAGAAAATAACACATGGATAGAGATAGCTTTTCATTTTTATGTGAAATTTTTCATTATTAATCATTTTTATAATACACTACGTTAGTGTATTATAAGCCATTTGCAGAAATACTACTCGTTCTATTCTGAGAGGCACCTGAAAGACAGATCCTCCTTCCTCAGAGAGCATTCATGGAGCTATATTTAGCAGGTTCCTGTTCTATAAACAAAAAGGCATGGTTTCCCTGGTGGATCAGTACAAAGCACAAAAGCATCTGAGTGAGTCCCTTCCTGTCCCCTCAGCTATGAGTCAGAAGTTCAGAAAATGGAAGAATGGAATATCTGGAGAGCTTCCTGATTTCCAGGTATTTGACTGGTCCAGCGAAGTGCCCAGGGAGGACTACCCAGACAAGCACTGGCCTAATTTAGATTTGGCCAAGGTCACTTACCCACATACAGAGCCCCACTGAGGTTCAGCTGCCTCATCATGCCTGGAGATTTGCCGGTCCGGGCCCCGTAGTCATCCACAGTTATCTTTCCTGATTGGCCATCCCTGTAAAGAACAAAATAATCCCCCCAAACTCCACCATTTTAGGAGCTCATTCAAATATTCATCCATCTCAATAAAAATGTATTAAAGCACCCACTATGTGCCGGGTACTGTGCTAAATGATGGGACTGCAAAAAACAAAATCCAAACCAAAAAAAGGCCCCAAGGTCCTGGCCCTCACGAGTTTGTGGTCTACTAAGGAAGATAAAAAAACAAAAAACAAAAAACAAGCTGGAAGTGACAGCACAGAGCCACCACCACCCCAAGGTGCCATGTGATGACATAGGAGGAGTGCCCAACCTAGACCAGAGATGGGGCGGTTATTACAGGGCAGGGCAGTAAAAGCTTCTCAGAGGAGATTCTGCCTGCGATGAGCTTTGAAGGCCGGGCAAGGCGGGCGAAGGAGAAGGCTAACTCAAGAGAGGCAGCAGCCACGGCAAAGGGAAGACAGCTTAGAAAACTGCAAAGCCCGTGCGGCAGATGCTACTGCAGGGCTCATAGCAGTAGATGAGTGAACGAGGTCAGCTCAGAGGGATCACAGAGGACAATGGGGATGGACAATGAAGCCAGAAGCAGACAGTGAGGGCTCATGAGGAAGTTAGGATTTATCCCAAGACTGGGAGGGAGCCAGGGAGGAATGTCCAGGTGAAGCCAAGGGGAGGAGTGGGGTGGTGGTTGGGGGGTGTGTGTGGGGAGCTGTGAGGGCTTGGATATTATTCTAAGCACAGTGAAGCCAATGAAGCAGTTTTTGTAGGTAGAGGATTATTCTAGCAGAGGAAGAAGAATGGCTTAGAAGTTTCTAAAGGACCCGAAGAGCCCCAACGTGATTCTGAACACAGGAGAGGGGATGTGTTCATCTACGGCCAGGGCTTTGCACTTTTCTAAGCTGGTTTCCAAACCTATCCAGCCCCCTGAACCTTCTAGAAGCAAATACATCAGTTTCTATAGCACGGGGGTCAGGGGAGGTATACCAGCCCAGGCCTCACTGAATGACAGCAACTCCTCCAGTACCAAGCTTCAGAGAACGTTCTCCTGCTCTGTCCTCGCCCTTGAGACCATATACTCCCACTCCCCATTTTGGAAATGCTTTCTTCGAATTTCACGCCTGAGTGTCAGGCAATGCCCCCAATGGCTTGCCTTTGTTGCCCTGCCTTTAGAAAAAATTGCTGTAAAACATTCCATTGTTTTCCATTTACTGCATAAACTATAAGAATTTTTCATTTTCTATATATCTTCACTTCTATCTGAAGTGAAGATATGCCTCATAATCAATGGCATCTTTGACTTAAAAAATATGTGGTATCACCTCTAACATATAGATAAGTACTTCTTTATCATATTTATTATTTATTGTCTTTTGCTTCCCATTAGAATGCAAGACCATCAGGCAAGGATCTTAGTTTTATTTAATGATGGATCTCATGTGTCTGGAATAATGTAGGGCTCACCATGTCGATGAATGAACAAGTGAATCTGTGGAGCTTCAGCAACTTCATCTGAAATGGGAATAACTATGCCCATCTTTCAAGACTATTGTGGAGATCAGACATTACACATGCAAAGCACAGAGCATGACACCCGATACACAAAGACTGGTAAGGGAGTGTGTTGTTACTGTTATCACTATCATCATTATGTTATCATTTTTTCCCATTAAATGAAGATTATAAAATCTAAGTTGCTATGACTACTAACAGATAAAGTATGTAAAGTACCTGGCACCTAGAGATGTTTAATGAATTAGAACTTGTTTTCCCTTTTCTGCTGGGATCAATGCCTACAAGACCAAGATTACCTACAGCAAGAGTATGAACAAAGCAAGGCTCCCCTTGAGAATGTTCCCTTCATGGATCCCCTATCTCTAACCCCAGAGCCTGCTAAACACAGGATTAAAGTATCCACCCAGTCCTTCTTGCCATAGTTGACATCCATAGCCTTGAGCCAGCTCCCACTGAGATCTGTCGTACCATTCTGCTCACAACACAGTGTTGCTGGAATACTCCCACCTATCCAGTTCCTGGGCTCCACTACTTCTGTTCAGCCCTCACTGCCACCTAAGACCCACTAGGAGAGATATCAATGATGCCAACAGGAAGAGCCAAGTCTGCTGAGCCAACTGCATGATGCCAAGCTTGATGCTCTGATATCTAACATTCTTCTGGTGTAACATTCCACTGCCTTATCTCTCCCAAACATCTGAAATCCTAGTTGTGGGTGGGCTGCATCATGGGATGGGATGGAAAGGGCTTCGATCTAGAATTCTACTCTTGGCTTTGCCCACAAACAGTTGTATAGTCTTGGGAAAGTCACTTAACATTGGTTTCCTTAGATGTCTAGGAAGTGCCTGGCATCCCTCCAGTGTGTGTCTTGATACACATAATCAAACCATAACAATTAATGAAGGTTTAAAAATCCTTCCATAATCCATGAGTATTCTACCAACAATCTCTACCCAAGGAAACTGACAGTAGGGTGTTCCTTACTGTTCCCAGGGTAGAGATTGTCAGGATCAAGTATGGTTGCAGGTAAGAACTCAAGCATTTCATATTCCTTTGGATGTTTCTGTGCAAGACCTTTTAAAGATGGATAAGAGAAATGAGGAACTTAAAAGCCATATAGTTTGGAGTATTGTGGAGTTAGGTTGGATTTGGTACATTTTGACTTATATTCTAGAACATATTTGAAATTCAAGCCTATAAATATGCATTATGGGAAATCATTTCTTTTTTCAGTAAGTTAGAGTTGGGGCTTAGTCAAAATCACTATCTGTCTAAAGGGGGTTCTAGGCCACCTGGGCAGCTGATAGGCACAGATCTGCCTCTGTATCCTCAAAGGCCTTCAAAGGCAGCCACAGTGACAGGGGAAGGGGGCCCAGCGGGGCTCTTCCCATGACAGCCTGCATGTGAGCTGAGTAGGAAATTGACCATGGCGAACCTCATGTTTTCCAGGCCTTGCTCAGGACCTCACTAGCTGACTTCCCCAGAAAGGGTTACGGTAAATTCTCAGGGAACCCCAACCAGAGCTGCCGTTCAACTTATTTTCTTCTGGGACCTTTATCTAACATGCGGTATTGACATCTCTAGGGTTGGGCCTACTATTTGGTTTCTGAAAATGTTTTGTGAGGAATATGAACGCAGATAGTAAACCTATAAAGAAGATCAAAGGAATGATACACCCAAAGTTAGTCAGAAATCAGGGTAGTGATTACCTCCAGTGTGGAGGAGATAAATATTAACAATTGGGGCTGTATGAACCACATACAGCTTCTAAGGTTCAGATAATGTTTTCTTTTAAAAAGTGGCAATTGCCCATGCAATGAGATTTGAAGAATTCTTCCAAGTACACATACCCTGAAATTTCATCTCACTAGATATCAAGGCCCTCCTCCAGTTTAGTCATCAAAAGGTTTTCTCTCCAGAAGGTTACTGTTCAGTGAAGATTTGGGGAGTCAGGCTGTGGCCTGTGAGTGTCAGTGGAGGGTATGGTGGGAGTTGGTAGCAAAATGCCCTGAATGCCCAAAGTGAGGAGTGCTAGGACACCAGACAAGCCTGGGGAATAGGACAGCGGGGCAGTAAGGGAATTGTACCGCACATCCCACCACCGCTTAGCTCTGGCTCCGGCTCACACTGTGGTTGGGACTCACCTGACAGCCTTAACTCGGTGCCACCGACCATCGTTGAAGGAGCCGTTCACCATGATGGATGCCACACCACTGCCCAGATTATAGCTAAAGGAATTGGACAAGAACAAGACAGAGAACAGAATAAAACTCCAAAGCACAGGCACACACCATTCCCAGATGATTCTCATTGCAAAAGTTCTTTGGAACTCAGAATGCGGTTTCCTTAACAGAAAACAAAACAGTGTTATACAAGGTGGTTGGCTGGTTTCCAGGCTAGCCCATGAAGGATTAGAAATTTTTTAAAAAAAATTAATTTTGGTAAAATATACACAACATAACCTTTGCCATCTTAATCATTTTTAGGCATACAGTTCAGTAGTGTTAGGTACACACGTTCACATTGTTGTGTAAGCAATCTTCAGAACTCTTCATCTCTCAAAACAAAAACTCATTGTACCCATTGCTCCCTCCCCCAGGCCCTGATGACAATCCTTCTACTTTCTGTGTCCATGGATGTGACTATTCTAGATACCTCATATAATTGGACACATAACAGTATTTGTCTTTTTGTGACTAGCTTATTTCACTTAGCATAATGTCATCAAGCTGTTTTTTTTTTTTACATCCCCATGTACAGAAGCATCAGCACTATAGCATCAGAAACAACACAGAGTGCTTTGCCATTTGTAATGTGTTATGCTGGGTTGAATAGTGTCCCTCCAAAACTCATCTTTATCCAGAACTGCAGAATCTGACCTTATTTGAAAATAGGGTCTTTGTGGATGTCGTTAGTTAAAATGAAGTCATACTGGATCAAGGCACTGTGAATCCAATATGACTGGTATCCTCATAAGAGGAGGAGATTTGGACACAGAGACAGAGACACCCAGAAGAGAAGCCATGTGAAGATGGAGGCAGAGATTGGAGCGAATATCTAGAAGCCAAGGAACACCGAGAATTGCTGGCAACCACCAGAGCCTGGAGAGAGGCATGGAGAAGAATGTCCCTCAGAACCCCCAGAAGGGACCACCCCTGGCAATACATGGCATTTTGGATTTCTAGCCTGCAGAACTACTAGAGAGTGAATTTCTATTTCAGTGTTTTTAGCCACTCAATTTGTGGTAATTTGTTACCAAAGCCCTAGGAAACTTATACATGTGTTTTCACTTAAAAAAAAAAAAAAAGCCAGAACATTGCACAGTAGGCTGAGCCCCAGAGGGATTAAGGGAATTGGCCTAAAAATCACAAAGCTAATGTGTAGAACTTGAACTTGGTGTATTATCTGCCCTCAACTCCCATTTCACTCTGGTATCAGGTGCACCTAGTAGCTTTCTATTTTCTATTTCACTTCTCAGCACTGATACCTTAAGGGTATCAGACAACATGAACATGTTGTTTACCAGAGAGAAATATCCCTCTTAATCCAGTGTTCATTCAATTATTCTAATTTAATTTAATTCAACAAATATTTAGTGAGTGACTACTCTAACCTGGGCATTGGGCCAACTGCCTAGACCTTCCCTAGATAATAGAATAAAGCCCATGTAATCATGTTTTTGAAAGGAAAAATGTTCCACCTGGGATAACGCCCTCCTCATCTTATAAGAGGAGGTGTCTCTCTTTTACCTCACTGCCCAAGATATAGGGATGTTGAGAGAAGCCTGCACTAGTCACCGAGCACTCACACACACTCATTCTCAGAAAAGAGCAAGAATAGAAAGCACTGGCTTTCCCCAGAGAAACCCCGGGTCATTGCCTTAATAATGGAGCTCAAAGAAATCACACAACCTAATGACATTTAACCAAGAATAGGACTTGGGGTGACTTGACAAACCATGGGACAAAGCTGTCACTCTGACCCTGAAAAATCCACTGTTTTCTAATGAATTTTCCCACATCAAGTGTCTCCTTGTATAAAACAGCCTGGAGGTGGAATTTCCAGTTTTCATTATTTGGCAGCCAAATGCTTGTTGAATGAATATGAAGCAGGCTAGCTGCTTGTTCACAGAAACTTAGCTGAATTACTAGCTATGGCTATTTCAAGAGGCAATGTGGGATGATAGGAAAAGTGTGGACACTCAGATTCCAAGGACCTGCCTTGATTTCTGGTCATGCCAATTTACTAGCTCTGTGACCTTGAGCAATCTGCTTTACCTCTCTGACCCCAAATTTTCTCATCTGTCACATGCAGATAATAATCCCTTCTCTGAAGGACCATAGGAAAAGTTAAGTAAGATAACATGCGCAGAAAGCACTCTGCATAGGAGTCAAACAAACAATCCCACCACTGCAGATATATGCAGCAGTTAGCTTACATAATGGGGTGACAATGCACCCCGAGGGGCCAGTAGGAAGGAAAAAGTTGTCACCAAGAGTTAAATGAGTGAAGCCTCTCCTGGAGGAGTAGCCACCTGTGAGAGTAAGCAAACAGGCTGTGAATGTGTAACCAGAGCCGGCAGGAACGCCCAGCTCTCAGATTCAAGGTGACTTGGGTGTAAGCGCCAGGACGCTGGACTGGAACATGATTGTAATCCAGCGAAAGAAAACCTTTCCGTTGTGCTCGATCCTGTCTGGACACAGGGTGGGTTCCTCATTCTGTTCTCCAGCCGAATAACTCTCCTGTTCATGCCAAGAGCCAGAATGTGCTCTGGGGAGTCAACGCTGAATCCGGCAGACAGGAGTGTGGCCGTCACCGTGGGTGGGCGACTTGGGAGACTTCTCCATGGCCTGACTCTCCCTCCCCCAACCCCCTCTCTATCTGATTTCACACCCTCCAAAGAAGCTCCTGCTTCCCCAGACATGCTGATACTCACCCTGGATTAGGTCCCTCTGTACATAATGATCAAGAATAGAGGTTACCTCCCCTGGAAGACGGATGAGGAAGACTTTTGAGTGGTGGAAATGTTCTATATCTTGTTCTGGGTGGTGCTAATTTGGTGTTTATGTATTTTAAAATTTATCAAGCTGTACACTTAACAAGTATGCACTGCATGTAGTTATGCCTCAACATAACAATGTAGAAACTAACAAATGAACGAATGCATGTCTGGTTTCTCTACCGATGTCTTAGGAATCTGGCTACCATGAATGGGCTGTTCTGAGCCACTCAGCTTGGTGTGCCGTGAAGACTGTGAGGCTGAGGACCAAGGTGGCCCACCAGGATGAGCCATCAGGGGAGGACTTTTGGAAACCACACAGCCACCTTCATGCCTTCGTGTGGTGGCCCTTTTAGTCGTGTCCCCTTTAAACGGTAGCACAGGGCACTTCACTAGTGTCAGATCTTTTCCCTTTCTCTGTTGCATGAAAATGTTACGAGGTGAAAATTAGTGGGAAAGATCGCCAGTCAACTGATGTTCACAAACCCACCCAGTGGTAGGTTTTATGCCCCACGTATAATCACAAAACAAAATGAAGCAAACAAAAATGAAAACACAAAACGAAACAGAAAACCACTCTCATTTTAGCTGAGCACTTTGATTTCTTTCTTTTCTGCTCAGTCTTGCACTAAAACCATGAATATGTTTTTTTTTTTTTCTCATAAGAATTCCATTGCTCTTCCCTACTCTTTGGCAGAAAGGCTTTGAACACTAAATTAGCAAAAGAACCAGCATTTAGGTGAAGAAAGAAAGTCAAGAAAGTTGAGAATATAATTGTATTATCTTAGGACTCCTCTTCTATTTGCTGAGGTCCTGCATCAATCAAACACTGAAACCTCAAGAATGATTCGCCTGCTCTGTAGAAGGATTTCCTCTCTGGATTCCACTGATCTGAGCTCCCCAAGGGCAGGGCCCATAACTTACTAAAAATAACAACAACAAATTAATAACTAAATTGTAACAATCACTAAATTTTATCTCTCTGAGGAAAAGGCTTCTAAAACTCCAAAAATACTCTATCAAAGATAAAAATTTGTATTCCCATTATGACTAATAACTAACTAGCTATTCCAGACCATGCATTAAGCCCTTTGCAGGAATCAATGTATTTAATCTTGACAACTAACCCTTTCCTTTTACAGAGGAGGGGACAGAGGCTCAGGGAGTTAGGTAACTTGCATGAGGTCAGATGGCCCTAAGGATCAGGCATGTCTGACTCCAAAGCTACTTCAGACCCTGTTTCTCAGGGCAGGGTTCCTGGAACCCTCTGGGGTGCTTGTTTCCAATCAGACCCTGGTGCCCACACACCCACCCTGTCAGAATCTCGGGGGTAGGGGTGAGCCCAGGAATCTACCTTTGAAATAAGCTCCCTGCTGACTCACTGTATGCTGGCATTTCCAAGTCACTGGCCTATGCTATAATTCCTCTCTGTCCCCAGCCACAACTCCGTGTCTCGTGAACAGCTGTGGTGGAATAACTGCCGGACGGGGGATGCAGAGGCACTGTGACCGTGCGGTTCCACGCTCAGGAAGGCACAGAAGTCAGCCTCTGCCTGGGTCGGCAGTGCATCCTACACAGATGCGACTCGAACTCCAGGACTAGAACAAAAACACAGAGCCAATTCCCAGAAACCTGAGAAAGGAACAGTAACACAAAAAATATGTCCAGGATGAAGCGGAGCTGTCTGAAGGCTGCCAAGTGGGCGGGCGAGGGTCTCCAGCCCGGGTGCGGGAGCCGGCGGGAGCGGTGGCCCTGGGTGGCCCTGAGCGCCCCGGCTTCCCTGTGGGGCTGGCGTGGGTGGGGAAGAGGTTACAGCTGGTAGTTTAGCGGGGGAGTCAGGCCATCCCACCCACAGCTGAGCTACTGTTTCAGTTCCCTTTTCTGGGCATAATCAAGCACTTGAGGCCTTGGCGAGGTTAACCACAGGAAAACCACAAGAAAATGGCTTTGAGGCAGCCAGCCTGAAACGGGTGTGAGGAGCTCCGTGTTTGACCTCTAGGCCAATAAGGGGGGCAGGCGGTGCGGGAGGAGAGACGGTGGGAAGCTGCTTCTCACCTGCCAGCCTCCAGCTTCAACCTCAACTACACACTCGGCTCTCCAAAGTCCCCAACGACCACCGTAGGATCACTTAGCATGCTCTGCTATTTAGGGGCAAGCGTGATGTTGGGCAAGTGATATTTACTCTCAAAATACCTGGGAATGTATTAGAAATGCAAATTTGCAGGCCCCACCCCGATCTGCTGAACCAGAAACACTCTTAGGGTAAAGCCTGGCAATCTGTGGCAGTCACTTCCCCGAGTGATTCTGATGCCTGCCAAGCTTTGAGAATCCCTGCGCAGTCTCTAGCCCATCTGTTCCACAGGGCAGGCATTTTGGGGGCTTTTACTTTCTTAATCTCCCCTCAGATGTCTAGTGTGAGTGTTCACTAAATGACATGAAATTAATTGGAACTGCAACAAAGCAGAGATAACTGAACTAGGGAAAACTGAAAGCCAGGTCTCCTGGGGTTTAGATCTTTAGACCTTCTTGAGCTGCTGAGTATTGTGCCGACTACTCACTTCTACGCTAGGCGGTACCAGAGTCTTCTTTCTACTCCTTCCATTAATAATTTGTGAATAGAGAGCAAACGGCAGTAACACACTAGAACAGCAGCACAGAACTGCTCTGTAAAGGGCTAAATAGCAAATATGTTAGGCTTTGCCATACAGTTCCTTTTGAAGCTACTCAAGTGCGCCATTGTGGAATGAACACAGTCACAGGCAATACATAAATGAAAGAGTATGACGATATTCCAATAACACCTAATTTACAAAAATGGGAGGTGGGCCAGAGTAGGCCTGCAGGCTGGAGTTTGCTGACTGCTGCTCTAGAAGGTGCATGTTGGAAAGAAATACCAGGAGCCTCACATAAGCCTGGAGCTTCAGGCTGTAGCCAATTTCAGCAGACTAGGTTTTGGCTTACTTTTGAATCACTCTGCTTGGCATAATCTGCACTGTCTGAGAAAGATCCCAAGGTACTGCTAAAGGCAGCCAGAGAGGGGGTTACCTGAACACTAGGGCTCCATCTCGAAGGCCCAAGGAAATGAAGTCACTGTTGGGTCTCATGGAGCTGTCTCCCCTCCACAGCAACAGGCCATCCTTGGCAGTCGTCTTAAACCTCATGAACACATTTGATCTTGACCCTGACACCCTGGAGGAAATATACAAACAAGTCCATCAAATCAACCACCAACATCTGTTTCCAAGTAATCCTAGTTTTGTCTGCCAGCCCCGAGCAACCAGATGTAAGGATGATTTGGTACTTCTGACACTTACTTCACCACCACGAGTCGCACCATGGGTCTAAAGGTCTGGACTGCTCACTCAGCAGCAGCGTGTCCCTCCCCAAGCACTGTGAACCCCCGTGAGACAGCTGAGTCACCGATTAGCAAGACTACGGCCAATGCCATTGTCGCAGGCTGCAGCCCCATGCACAACTCTCTTTTCTCTTTCCTGTTCTACCACTCAAGGGGCCCATCCGACAACAGAAAGTGAGTTTCCCATTTACCAAGAGGCTCAAATCAGCAGCCTCTCTGGGCTATGACCATGGTTGTGCTGGGGGCAGAAAGGGAGCTGGCACACTATAAACTATAAAGAACCGGGGGAGGGAAAAGAGAGAAGGAGCGAACCAAAGATAAGCTTGAGGATTTTGCCAAGGGCCAGCCTCCCCCATTGCCATGTAAAAAGCTTGTCCAAAGCCCAGGGCTGGAGCTTCTGCCACCAGTGGAGAAAAGCCATGGCTGGGACCTGGGCGTCTCCCTGTCCTGTGCTCTTGTATCCTCATGAACAGAGCTGAGAAGCCCCTCGTCTTGCTGGCCAGAGCCTGCAGAGGATGAGAGCTTTGCTGATGAAGATGCAAGGTAGGTACTGACCCAGTAGGAAATGGGCTTGGACCTGCCTGGTTCTGGGAGCAGCTGAAGCCTTCTGCTGCTGGCTGGGTCAAAACTAAAGACTATGGCCACAGCGTAGCGGGAACTGCCCTGCTCAGGGAAGCACACTCGTAACCCCGGCTTCGTGAATGTACTATTCTCACTGCCTCTCCAAGCCTGAATACCGGAAACCCTGGGGCTGATCACGTTACTCTTCAGGATCATTTGTAAGGAAGTTGTTTGAAAGGCTGACTTTTCAAAATTACCTTGTTTTTTCTTTTGCTTTGTTCTAGTTTCTGTGTGTATGTGTGCGTGTTTTTTTCCCCCCAAGGCTACAGCTAAGTGGTCTTCATTGAGAATTATCTTCTGGCATTTCAGATGAGAAAAAGATATTGAGAAGCTGACCCTGGAAAGATAAGGAGGGTCCTGTGGAAGCTCTTTACCTCTTGAGGATATCTGGATTGTCGTACGTCAGGTAACTGCGGCCGATAAACTGTGGGATCTCAATGGCTTCTGTGATCGCTGGGACAGAACAGAAAATGGAGGTTACTTGGTACACGTCTCTCTTGACCCCTGCACTCACATACATGGCAGGAAAACACCAAGAAAGCCAGCTCCTGGAAATACGACCGTTAGCAACTTGCCAGCCTCTTCCTCTCGGCCGCACACACACTTGGCCAGACCCAGAGCCGCCCAGCCTGATGGCTGGAGCTGGCTTCTTCCCATTTTCCCCTCCCGGGGAAGTCCTGTCCCTGTCACTGGCCTCAGCACTGCTGAGAAGGCCTTGCAATGTGCCGAAACTTGAACTGCTCCCAATTGTTCCTGGAAGCCAAAGAGCAGGTCTTGGGCCATGTGGGGAGCAGATGGGGACAACCCCAGATGTTCTCCAAGGGAGGCAGAGAAAACAAATCTCTAGACAAGGCACACTAGGGTTCTTTATTCAAAGCTGGTCTGCTCCGGGGCTCCTTCAGCTATGACCTCAAGAGGCTGCAAAGCATGATGGATGAGGCCTCCTGCGTTTCTGACCACCTTGCAGTGTATTCCACCAGACTCTCACCACGCTCTCATGAAGGCACAGGGAGCACGGGGCAGGGGCAGGCTGCTTGTTTACACTTACAGAGAGTAATGTGCAGAGGAGAAGCACTAAGGATTTGTCTGGGATCATATGGCTAAGACAGCAACAGACCATACGCCACACCGGCTCTCCTTAATTCTGACTTCTGGTGCCCTCTTGATTCCCCAAATTCTTAGAAATGTATTTCCTGCCTCCCAAATTCTTATCACCTTGTTTCAGGTGATATCCTGAGGAGTCACCTTTTTACACACAGTTAGCAAAAGAATAGGTGACATAGGTATGTTTCGTGTCACAAATCGGGGATGAGGTTAGGGGATTTCTGCTAGAGAGAAAACAGCAATATCTCTTTCCATTTTTGAGAGATATAGAAATGGCAGCTTAAAGAAATTGAGGTAGAATAAATCTCATGTTCAAGGAAATGTGCAAACCAAGAGAGAATGAACCAGCTTGTAAGACACTTCATAGTTCTGAGAAAATGTGTGGCCGATGCAAAGAAGTCACTGAACGAAGGACTCTGCACCCAGGAGAGGAAATATAAAATTATTTGATGCTATGAGTCATAGGAAGAGTTTAAACTTAACTTTTAAACATTAAAAAAAGGAGATAGAGCAGCAAACCCAATGACAATAAGCCCCCAAGTCTAAGTTCCTATGTTGGCAAGTTCTCAAGCCTTTTCATAAAAAAATAAAGAAAAGAAGGAAAGAAGGGAGGAAGGAAAGAAAAAAAGAACAAGAAAGGGAGAGAAATAAAAACTTAAAACACAATTTCTGAGGTAACCAACCAAAAAATTGCTCTGTGGTTCTCTGAAGCAGCACAGCCCTGGGCAAGGACCTGTTAGGAGTGGACCCAAATGCTCTTGCCACCAGCCAGCTCCCTGATGGAGGGAGAGGAGGAGAGGAAAACAAAGAGGGTAGGGAGAGGGGAAAAGAGTGGGCGCAAAATGGCCAGAGGATGGGAAAGAAGCCGAGTGGGAACCTGAGGGAAGAGGGAGCAGCAAGGAAGAGCCAAGAAGAGGAGGAAAGCGGGTGCCGAGGAAGACCAGGAGGAAGAGGCAGGGAAAGGAGGGCGCCCAGACGGCAGTCACAGGCAAGGAGAGGACAGGGAAATAGAAAGGAAGACAGATGGGACGCAGAGAAAGGAGAGGAGGGAAGGGCCCAGGGCAGCGGAAATGGAAATGCGAGTGGAAGAGGGTAGCACTGGAGGAGGCAAGGGAAGCTGTCAGGTGTGGGGACAGCCCCACCCTGCAGGACACCAGTGCTGAGAAGGGAGAAGAGAGAGGAGATCCAAGCTGGCCGGCAGAGGAGGCCTTCCTGGAGCTACACAGAACGAGCAGCGCTGGCAGGTCTGGCTCATCCCCAGGGTGAGAGGTACAGCCAGGCCTGTCGCTGCTGCTGTTGGCCGTGGCTGTGGGCCTGTGGCCAACAGCCATCGTTTCCCCTGGACTCCTGGAAAGGGTCAGGACGTGCTTGTCACACGTCAGCTCTGCACATGGAGTCCCCAGAGGAGTCTGGGTGAGCCGGGGACTGGTGCCTGCTAAGCCCCCTGTGCAGAGCTCAGGCGTCCCCCGGGGCCAGCCCTGGGAGCGAGGACTCCCGCTGCCCGGGTGGGCATGTCCGAGCTCCCACACCACTCACCCGGCTCCCCCCTGCATGTGGTTGGCCTGCCCTGGCAGGCCTTGGCACCAGCCCAGAGCGCTGCCACAGTCTCTCACAGGACTTAGTGTACTTACTATTGAGGCAGTAGTTCCCACACTCTGCCCGGTGCCAGCATGAAAGAGAACAGGGAGAGTCAGACTTTCATAGTCATTGTCAAATCCCAACTCCCTTGGTTGCAGAGCATTTGTTTCTCTCACAAAGCCCTGCCAAGGGCCCCGAATGTCCTCTCAGGGCATGTGAACATGAGCTCCAGGAGGAACCACCGGAAATCTCTCCCAGGCATGAGTGGCACCAAGCCACACACCCCCCTCCTCCAGCACGGCTTGATGAAGGTGGGGGCAGCACAAACCAGGGAGATTTTTGTAAGTTGTCTGACACTTCCTAGGCTCCCTCCCCTTCAACTGGCAATCCACGCTTCCTCTAAACCTGGAGAACAGCTCCTTGCTAAGGAGTTACTTACCTTGTCAATGATTATTACTTTTCTTGGCTCCGGATCATGTGTGAAGAAGGAACGATAAGCCAGCCAGCTGCCTCTTTTCTCTCCCCAGTGGAAAATATCGCTCCAGTTCCCACCCCATGCCCCTCTGCGAGATCCCAGAGCCCTGGTTATTTGGTGATTAACTAGGTGCAAGGGCTTCCTCCAGAAACAACACCGCAGAATACAAAGTAATAAAAATACACTCAGTTTAAGTCAGTACATACGGACAAATATTAATCCCATCCAAAAACATCAGAGCTGGAAGTGACCATTGAGCCCATTCTGGCTCTTTGGAGTTGGTTTAAATATTGTAAACACGATTATATTTTAACCTAACCCTTATACCTAATCTTTGCTACACTCTCTTTTCAATGATTTATGAGTTGAAGTGTGTTTTTGTCATTTCTTCGCATTCGTACCTAAAAGCTTGTGCCATCTGACACACAAAGAAAACACCCCAGGGAATAGCAGCCTCTAAGCCCACGCAGACCAAACTTTCCATTTGGGGAACTTGAATTCCCCAAAGACTACAAGGAGCTGAAGGGACAAATGGCTCCTACACACACTCATGGGCCCTCAGCAAAGGAAAGGAGCCTGCGGGTGCCGAAGTTGAGCTGTCTCACCAAGCAGGACCGTCGCGGCAGCACCCCTGATGGTGGCCATCCAGCCCCAGGAACCACCTACCTTCCACCGTGGGCAGCTCACTAATCTACAGGCCGGCACATGCTATTTTTGGGCTGTTCTACTTGGTACAAAATATTTTATTATATTAAGCTGACTCTGTAGCCACAAAGTAAAAAAGCAGAAGCAAAACCAGACAAACAAACAAAACCTTTTTCTACCCTACCACCTCTTCAACTAGCGCTAACGACCAACATCTAGGCTAAACACTCCCACGTTTTCCACTGTTTATACACCTAAGAAAAGAAATTCCTTGTAGTATGCAGAATTTATGTGTTTTATTCATTGGTGTTGTTATAGAGAGAGTTTTCTTAAAGTAGAGGCTCTAATTATGGAAGCTATTTTTTTTAATACACTGGGACCAAAAAAAAAAAAATAAGCACCCACATCAGACCCCGAATATGACGCGAATCTACTAAATACAACATAAAATATCATAAACATTGCATACAGTGGTAGTTTGGTATCGGTCAGGCAAGACTGGGTCTTTTAGGACTGTGCACACAGGAAGCGTATACTGTGTCCTAAGCCTAGGCTTTGTCTCAGTGGCTATGGGATCCGCAGTGCGCTGAGGGGCCCGCCCGTCTGCTACGGAGAAACACCGCCACCTAGTGGCTCGCCGGGCCCTGCATGGTCTAAGTCCCACCTGTACTCCCAAAGTTCAGAAGTTCTTTCCCAAGTGACCTGTCTACTAGTTAGTGGTTGGGAGAGCCTGGAGAAAAGCTGGGTCTTGTATCTACCTCTTGGACACTCAGAGCATAGCACAGGCTCTGAGAAGTCCCGCAGAAAGGGTTATCCAAAATATCCAAAAAGAAATTCTTCGTAGTATGCAGAATTTATGTGTTTTATTAATTGGTGTTGTTATAGAGAGAGTTTTCTTAAAGTAGAGGCTCTATTTATGGGAGCTATTTCTTTTATACACTGGGGCCACAAAAAATAATAATAAGCACCCAAATCAGACCCAGAAATATGATGTGAATCTACTAAATACAACATAAAATACCCTAACCGTTGCATACAGTGGTACCAATGACCACAGAATCCACCCCTCTGTTTGTGTGTTTGTGTGTGTGTGTGTGTGTGTGTACAAGGCAGCCATTAATATTCCTCAGACCTTATTTTTTACCTGCACTTTGTGAAACTCTGCCAGAACACATTAGTAACTTAGATACACAAGCTCTTAGGGACTAGGACATAAGATGAGTCAGTTCTAATGTGAGTAGAAAGAAGAGGAAAGAGATCTCTAAGGATGGAAGTAATTAGGTGAGGGGGAGGCCTTGTTGAGGTGAGGAGAGGCCCTAGCACTGGGGTGGGGCATGAGGGGCTGAGGTTTAGGGGGAAGAAGATGCCTGAAAGTGAGAGCCAGAAAGTAAAAGCTGAGGGGACAGCCAAAGCCAAGTTTTATGAGTTTTTGTTGGTGCCTGAAGTCAGGGCTGGGGGTTAGAAGAACCTCTGGCTCCTCCTGTCCCAGTAGATTCCTGAGGTTGGGACAGAGAGGCTCGATTTTCTGTGGCTGCTGCCACTGAGGACCCTGTGGCACCCTGAGAGCATCTCAGAAGCTCAGCGCTAGCTCGACGCCCACTTGGGGCTCAGGCTGTCCTGCTCCTGCCTCCAGCCTTGCAGGGAAACACAGGGGTCCCGAGGCCACTAAGGTAGCCTGAGCGCCTGGAACTGCTCCAGGACCTGTCTGAGTTTCCAGCCGCTGCCCTCCTGTGCCACCAAGAGGTGAGAACAAGTGTCAAATCTTCCCACTCTGGCCCTTATGGAATCTGCCTGCCAGTCTCTGAGGAGGCTAGAGAATCCACTCACTGAGATCTAGAAAATGAAGTTCTTCATGGAGAAAGTGCCCTTGGTATGGGTTGTGTGAGGCCTGGTGCTGGGTATTTCCATGACATTTTGCTTCATGTAAAAAAAAGAACTGGGTAACTAGGAACAGGTTCTAGATTTTGATGCATGGTTTCATTATCAGGCAGGAAAATTAAAAAAAAAATTTTCAACTTTTACATATATGAGGCTAAGAATCACCTTGCTGAATGAGATGAGATTTTCTCTGACAACCAAGAATAGATTCTAATCATTCTTGGTCTTTCAAGCTAAGAATTCGCCCACATTTTTCAGTGTGTTCCCTTGCACCTCTATGGAACAATGCAATTGCCCGTCTCTCTTCCTTTTCTTTCCAATCCTAATACGAAGCTAGACGCTTTCCCCAATATTACAGCAGTCTGTGTGGTAACTGCTCACAATTCTACACCTGCTGGGGCTTGGAAAAATTATCCCAGAGCCCTATTAATCCTTCCCAGTCATTATTACAGGAAATTATGGGATATAGGCCTTACCTGCCATATATGAATCTTGCTATAAGCAGTATCATGATTTCAAAGCACAGGAGATAGTGTCACTACTTGGAGGGTGGCTGCTGGCTCATCTGGGATTTAGTCTTGGTCCTAACTACCTTTGCAGGAGAGGCCCAAATGCCCCCCAGTCCCCTCTGTCATCATCCATTCCCTCAGATCTTGTCAGACTCAGGCCCTCCCTGGGACCTGCCCCATTTTTCGGGTGAGATGTGTTTCTCATTGAACCTGGACCTGTAGTTACACGTTGTGTCTGTTATGGCTAATGGTCTACAGCAGGAAATGAGAGCTAACAAGACCACAAATTATCCTTTCCTTCTTCCACAGCTAAACGTTCATTTAAGTCTGGACTCTCTATATTGACCATTAGCGTTAGAAGGCAGGAGCAGACTCAAAGTGCCTGTGGTAACACTGGAGACTCAGGAAATTCAAACAGTGATGTATAAAATCCAAGCCCAGTTTTCTGAATGAATGGGCCGCTCTTAAACTAAATCTTTGCAAGTCCAACCTATTAGCTAAACAACGATTTGCTTGTTAGAAGCATAATTAGGACAATTCACAGGCAGATCAATTACTCTTTCTTGTTGAAACATATATTTCATGATTTGCCATGCAGGTGTCAAAATTCATTTAAATATAAGAAATACTACTAAGTCTTCTAATCAGCAAATGGCAGCTTTCAAATTTCCAAAAACGCTGCAAAACATCTCCCACTATTGCATATACCAGAATATCTGTCTGTAATTCACAGTTTTCCTCCAAGCCCTACTTCTGATGACAACTGGGAACCTGGGAATGAACAGGAAAGACAAAAAGAGCACATCACTGCCGAGGCTCCCTGCCTGTGTCCTTTAGGCTGTTCACTTTATTATTATTATTATTAATTCCTGGGCAAGTGAGGCCACACTGACATTGGAAACAAAAAGGTCCATGTGGCCCAACATGAGGAAATGATGCGGGTGAGCTTATTCTGGATGCCAGGACCACAGGCTCTGCTCGCCTCAGGTAGATGCAGAAAGTGAGATCAGCAGGGACTTGTGGGCTATCCTGCCTGAGCTTCCAGGTGAGGGCAAGATGGAAATTGAGTAGCTCCCAGAACCTGCTGTTGGATTTTATTTTTTTCAGTAGTAAAAACAGTGACTAGTAGGGGTTGATTCGCTGAGCACTTACTGGGCACTCTTCCAAATGCTTTCTATGCATTGTCTCATCTAGTCTACACCACAACCCTCTGCTTAGATACACAATAATAGTGCTGTTATCATTCCCATTTCACAGTTGAGAAAACTAAAGTACAGGTGATTTGACAGCATGGAAAATAGCACTCTCCAGAAGTTTACGTAAACTTTGGTTTGGAGAAACTAATGCATAATTTGTGTATTTATGCATTTGGGCAAGGTTTCTCCTTACAGTCCTCATAGACGGGGTCAAAACATTTAGTCAAGCTCTTTCGGCTCTCTGAGCAGGACCATGGCAATTGGCAGGAACAAGCACCTTACATAAGGCAAAAAGTGGCAAGAAAGGTTGACCCGTTTTCTAAAAAATATTGGTGTGATGTGAGAGAACCAGCTGTGTTCAGAATAAGAAATACTGGAAACACACTAGTCACCAGGACTCAAGGAACCAAGATTGCAACTGATGGCCTCAAGGCCCTGTGTTTGAAGTGAGCCCTGCTGATCTGCAAAATAATGAAGTTGTATTCAGAAAATTCAAGATGATTAACTGAGGATGATCAAGGCAAAAACTGCCTGCCTAACTTCCATGGCATGGACCTTACCCACAACAAAATGTGTTCCATGGTCAAAAAATGGCAGACCATGTCTGCAGCTCATGCTGATGTCAAGACTACTGATGGTTATTTACTTCATATGTTCTGGTTAGTTTTACTAAAAAACACAACAGTCAGATACAGAAGACCTCTTATGCTCAGCACCAACAGGTCCACCAACTCTGGAAGAAGATGATAGACACCATGACCATGAGGTGCAGACTAATGACCTGAAAAGACATAGTCCATAAATTGATTCTGGACAGCATTGGAAAAGACACAGAAAAGACTTGCCAGTCTATTTGTCTCCTCCATGATATCTTTTTCAGGACAGTTATGATGCTGAAAGAAGCCCAGGTTTGAACTGGGAAGACTCATGGAGCTTCCTGGTGAAGGTAGTAGTTCTAGAAAAGCTACTGGGGATGAGACAGGTGCTAAAATTGAATGAGCTGATGGACATGAACCACTAGTCCAAGAATCTGCTTAACCTTCAGATTTTTAACAGTGACAAATTAAAAGTCCTATTTGTAAAAAATATATATATATTTAATCAAAATATTTATCTGTTTAGAAAGCCCAGGCATCCACCTATCAGGATAGGCTCTGGGAGTGGCTCAGATGCAGAAGCCCTAGAAACCCCTGCTATGGTATGGGTTCACTTTTTGGTTGCTAGACCATGAGGGGATGCTCAGGGAAGGAGCCAGGGCAAGGGGTGGGGAAGCTTTTTACCCATTGTAGCAGAATTATTTTGGCACTTAATTCTCATTAAGTAATTATGGTAGTTTATATATAGTTAATCGTTTAATAAGTTACCGAAATGATTGATCAAAATAACTACTATGTAGTTATTTTGTCTGTACCAGTGTTACAGACTCTTCAAGAGTGGTGGCCCCCTGGCTGGCTGGCTGTTCCCCCCACTCCCCCAGGAAGCAGGCCCCTCAGTGTACCTTTCTGGCAGTGAAGCCCCTCGAAGCCCAGGGGGCAGTCGCACTCGTAGCCCTCCTTCCTGGGCCGGCAGCTGCCACCATGGGCGCAAGGGGCCCCCACGCAGGGGTGGGCCGCGTTCTCCACGTTCACGCCAGATGTGAAGTCATGCTTCACGTGGATGGTGCGGTCGTTCAGGATGATCTTGGGAGAGAAAAATGTGAAAAAACTCAGGAATTGAAGGAATACCTTTACAGTCTTCTAGAACTTTCCTCAGCACTAACCTGAGCTGCACATGGGGAGATTAAAACTTTTATTTTTTTAAGTCCAGTTCCTACTTTTATGGTCTTGTAAGGGATGCAGGAGCTGAAATGAAATGTACATTTGGTACATCTGGGAGGATCTTCAGAATAGAGCACTCCTCTGGTCCTGGAAGACTGGCTCTCGGGAAGGTTGTAAAGAAGTCCCAAGAAGTACAGAGTTTGGGTTTTCAACCTGGCTGCACGTTAGAATCACCTGGGGGGCTTTTAAGGACTAACGTGCATGCCCACCCAGACCAATTGAACCAGAATCTCTGAAGGTGGGACTCAGTTTTCAGAAATTTTTAAAAGCTTCCAAGAATCACCTGGGAAGATGCAGCCAAGGTTTAGAGATGCTGCTATAAAGCGGAGTAGGGAGAGCATAAAGCCAGGTGTTGTGGAGTCAGGACCAAAGGGGCAGAGATGGCTTTTGGTGGCCGTGGACTACAAAGGGGCTTCCTGGTGTACTTCCGTGTGTGCTTCCAGTGTTCTCATGTAGTCTCTTACATTCCATCAACAGGGCCTCTCCAACTGTCCTGCTCACTCCTGCTAGCCTCCTTCCCCAACATTCCTGAATTCCCATCCTCTCCACATCTATTTCCCCACCACTAAAGAAGTAAGTGAAACTCAGGTCACATTCTAATGCTGCTGTGCATGTATTTCCCTGGGCTGGGGAGCTCGTTTGCTCCCTCCCTTGCAACGTGGCTCCAGAAAACCTGAAGAATTCTGTGGAGGGGTTACTGGGTCCCCTAATCCCAAATAAAGAGATCCAACTTTTCAGCCCTCAACGTGGAATGTGTATTTATTTTGAGCTGTTGCTGGCTTTGCAGAACTTGGAGACAGACAGAACACCTCCCAGGGGAGTCTCCACTGCCCAGGGGGTTATAAGAGGTTAGCGATGGCACTGCCTGCCACCAATCCCAGTTTCCAAAGGCTTTCCTGGCCTTTGGAGAGCACTGGGAGAGTTGGGAGAGCACTGTTTTCCATCCTGAATCTGAGAAGCTGCTAGAGAGTAACAAGCACATAATCAAGCACGGCTGATCCCACTCACGAGGGTAGGAAACTGAGGTGTCCCTGACGTCGCAGTTCAGCAACAAGCGGGAACACACGAGTCAGCAAACGTTGACTGGGCCTGGTGCTGCCATCCAAGGTGAGAAGGTCACGGCCCCAGGGCCCCTCCCACCTTCTGGGGGTGCAAATCATTATAGGACTTCTTTCACCACCCCTCCTTCATCTCAGCCTCTGCCATACTTCATTTTAGGTCCAAACAGGACCAATGGCCAACATGCCGCCATTAGTCGCTAAAGGAAAACAGAATGAAGCTAATCCAGGAACGGCACTTGCTTGTCTTCAGATCTTGCTTCCCCCAGGGTCTGGTCCCCTGGTCCCCCTAATCTGGCTGAGGAGCCAAGCTGCAGGCAGAGCAGGTCCTCAGGGTTGGAGGGATTGCAGGAGCCCCAGAGAAGGCAAATGGGAGGTTGGTCCCTTTTACTGAGTGTTTTTTTCCTGAACTTTCTAGGGAAAGACTCTTTAATCTGTGCTCCTTAGAGCTTGGTTACCTGATTAATGAATAACAACTGCTAAAGTGCGTGGGTGGGGATGAGAATTTGCCCTCATCCTGAACAAACCGCAAAGTAACGCCAGGGAGGCACACAGAGCCCAGAGTTCTATCCGCTTCCACGCGCCCCCTTCCCTACTGTGGAGGCGTCTGCCGTGACCTCGTGCCATTTGCTCCGTGCAGCAGTCCCAGTATAGTGTAGTGGATTTGCTGTAAAAGTTCATCTTCATTGAGTGGTGTTCATGGAATGTCTTCTGGGCATAGACCAGGAGCAGAGTTATAAGAAAATGGGGTGGGAAAGCTATGCTGTGGGCATTAAAAAATAAAACCTTAAACATTTTAAAATTTTCTCTACGTGTTTTTCCCCAGGTGAAGCAAATTACACTGATCACAATCGTCAAATGCCATTGCCTGCAGTCATGGTGGCACAGTCAACAGGAGGAAAGGAAGCCTCTACCTTCTGGATGCTCCCGCTAAACGGCTTGTGAATACCCGAGTTCTTCTTCACCTCATCATAGTCGGGGACTCCACCAATAAAAATGTCCGTGTTGCACTTAATCTGTGTGAAGCCTCCCTGCCAACAGATTAAAAACAGAGCATGGTATAACTTTACAACAGATGGGGAAAACTAGCAAATGTGCGTTCGGTTCCCTGTTGAGGACCAAAGAGTCGAGACAGCCTCAAGACCCGTGCCCACAAAGGTCTCTTTTCCTTCCTTTCCTTTTTTCTGTTAATCCATTTGCTTATTAGTATACCCAAATTCATCAATGATCTCTTTAAATATTGCTTTGCACACAGGGAAGACTGGTGGGAACCAAGGCACTGGCAAATCTCAAGTCCCCTTCTAGGAAATCTAGCTAATCTAAATTTTTTGTGTGTGTGCAGAGTCCTAGCAGGCTATAGTTTAAGGCAAATCTCCCTTATCTCCTCTTAAAAATGTTGGTTTTCTTGGGACATGAACTTGGAAATAAAATTATGGAGGAAAGTTATAAACTTGAGTAGAAATTCCATCCTCTTGAGTCTATGACAGTACACTATTAACTAATAATAATAAGTACAGCTATTTGATGCTGACCCGTGCAGCAGGCACTGTTTTGTTTTACGTGTGTAATTCATTTAATGCTTACAACAGCTCTGTGAAGTAGTCACCACCGTCATTCCCACTGATGGGAAGATAACGGTGAGATGAGAAAACACTGACCTGAAAGGGCAAGTAACCAGTATGAGCTCACACGATGGGTAAGAAATGGAGCTAGATTTTGAACCTTGAGTCCAGCTTTACAGTCTATTCTTGTCAGACCTCTGCCCACTGCATGACTGGCCCTGACCCTGTGTTTTCATCTACTACGTTGCACTGCTGGTAACAGCAAAGGTGGACGTGGAAGGTGAAGGGGTGGAAGGTAATTTTTCAAGTGCGAACTATTATTAACTGACTGATCCCTCGCAACCACTCCATGAGGCCAGTTCTAGTTTTATCCCACTTACAGCTGAGGAATAGAAAAGTTAAGTAATTTGCCCAGTGGGGAGCTGGGATTTCAACCCAGGCACTGACGCCCACGTGCTGAAACACTACACTGTGCCGCATTTCTACCAAGACAGGTAGAAAGCAGTAATCCGGTTCACATCAACCGTCAAGAGAAAAGGTGTGTCCCTCTTACCTCTGCCATCCCCTCCACCACCTTCTGCTTATCCACCTGTAGGATTCCATTCTTCGCCGTGCGGGACACATGCAGCTCATGCCAACTGCCCAGGGTGAGGGGCTCTTCACTCCTATTGAAGCCAGACATGATATTAATTCTATGTGTCAACCTACTGGGATAAAGGATGTCCCGACAGCTGGTAAACCATTATTTCTGGGTGTGTCTGTGAGGGTGTTTCTGGAAGAGATTAGCATTTGAATCCATGAACTGAGTATAGAAGAGGGTCCTCATCAATGTGCGTGGGCATCAGCCTACCTGCTGAGGGTCTGAGTTGAACAAAAAGGAGGAGGAAGGGCGGATTTGTTCTCTCTTCTTGGGCTGGGACATCCATCTTCCTCTGCCTTTGGACATTGGCACTCCTGGTTCTTGGGTCTTCAGATTTGGACCCAGGACTGACACCATCAGCTTCCTGGCACTTAGGCCATTGGGCTAGGACTAGGACTTACACCACTGCCCTCTGGCTTTCCAGCTTTGGGCTAGGACAGGAACTACACCACTAGCTTTCCTAGGACTTCTCAGCCTCTGTAATCATGTGAGCTAATCCGTCATGATAAATCTCTTCCTACATATCTATATATAGCCTATTGGTTCTGTTTCTCTGGAGAACTCTAATATAGAAGAAAACATGGGTTAGCATGTTATAAATAATTTTCATCCACCTAGCTATGAGAAAACTATTAATAATACTAACCTTAGGCACCTCAATCCATTCAGTAAAAAGAAAACAAAAATTCCTACTTAGAACATGGCAGTACTAGCTATCATGTATTGGACCCCTTCATAGTAGGAGCATTACATTTATGGTTTCATTTATTCCTTACAACAAGCCTGATGTGGGTAAGATATGGGTACAGTGAGTCTGGTTTTCTAGATGAGGGGTGACATGAAGGTAAAACACACTTGTGCACAAACTTTGAAGATCATATAAGTGATGGTATAAAAAACAAATTCCTTGGTGTAGTGACGTCTGCAACATCCTTTGAAATATATAAAAAAATAAGAAGGATGCATGGATGGATGAATGGAAATAATAGTAGCTACATATGTGGTGAAGCAAATAGAGCCAAACATTAATTATAGACTCTCAGTGGTGGGTATAAGGATGCTTACTGTATAATTCTTTCAACTTTTCTATATATTTGGAATTTTTCATAATAAAATGTTGTGGGGGGAAACATTTTATATTTTCAGACATTGTAAAAAAGATTAAAATTACTTTAAAAATCCAATTATGAATTCAAGCTGAAAGTGCTTGAAGTTTAAACGATATTTATAGGAGTCTTACACATTAGGTTTTATAGTGAGGTGTGTGGAAAGAGTATCATTATTGCATTTGTATTTCTAACAATGTCTACTTCCTGGCCCTCGCTGAACTTCCCAATTATTTTTCGGTCTTGGATCATCTTTAGAAAACCAGGAGGAATACCAATGGGTGTAATTATGAAAGGTCACCACCCCTCCACTTGATTTTTTTTTTAGCTCTGGCAAATGCTTTTGTGATTTGTTCTTAGCAATTAGAATTTAATCACCTTGGCTAAATCAATATGCAATAAAGAAACAAGCGGCCCTTTTTAAGTGGTCTACCTCCATAATAACTAACAGGGCCATTTCGTGTTCCTGTCCCACAGAGGTCATTTGCTGTCAATGCGCTGGCCTTCCTCGGAGCAGGTGTATTGATCACAGCCATCAAGAGCTCATTCCAATTGTCTTGATTCCTGAATCAAGTTCACAATAAATTTGATTGCCGTACCCTTTTCTTAAAGTTAAAATGATTTGACCAATTCCACAACTTCCTGTAGTACAGGCTTTCACTGCATTTTCCTATTTTAGCAGGAATTCTTTGAAATGGTTTCCAAACTAAACAGGTTCCAAAGGGGCCTCTGAAACACCAGTAGTGACCACTGTTGTCAGGTTAGGCTGGGGGTGGGCTGGGACAAGGGGAAGATGTAGTGTGTCCCTTGGAAGCTCTTGCCTCATTTTCATCACCTAATACTCAAGAACCCTTTTTCCCATTGCCTTTCCTTACAGGCAAGAAAATAATTAACTTATGTTTTAAAAAAATTAAAAACACCTTTTCTCAAAAATAGGCACAGAGTTATGACATAGAGAAATGATGGACTTCTAAGGGTCCCATGTACCTGTGACACCACAGCTGGAGCTGCCACTGCAGAGGGGCAGGGGAGAGCGGACAATCTGTCCAGGAGGAGGGCTGTCGAGCCCCGACCCTTTCCTGGCTCTTTCTGGTCTTTCCTTATCCAAGAAGAAGCCATTTAAAAGTGCAAGGTGATATTCAAGGTGTCTTCCCTTTTTAACTTGACAGATAGTTCTCAGTGAACTGCTTAGGCTGTTTTGCATAATTATATGTAAATTGAATCAATTAAATACCCACCAAAGTTGTCTTGAAATATAGGATGCTTTTGTATCACCAGAGGTACAAAAGTGTTTGTCCATTCTCAAGGGGGGAGGCATCAGTGATGTGCAGGAATTTAGCCACAAGGACAAAACAAAAATAAACTGTCCTTTTTAAGAAGTGTTGAAACCTAAGGCAGTGAGATTTCCCATCAGCCATGAAAAATGACCAGCAGAAGGGAAACGTGTGGTTGTAATATCTCACTCACGTACTCTTCGAAAACTGACAGTCTAGCAATATGAATGGTGATCGAATACAGCCTGCAATTTCCTCTAAAACAACAGACTCTCTGGTATCCTGTTGCAGGGCACTGTGGAACAAAACATCCTAGTGAGTTTCAGAAGAGAAGAATTAGACAAATGTAAGAACAAGAAGGATGTCTGCATTTGATTAGTGGCTCTCTGGCCTGAGGGTTAAAACTACCATGGATAGACCACAATAAGAAGATAGAGACAAAAACAATTAAGAAAAACATCTGTACCTTCCGACCATGGGCTCCACGGGATTCAAAAAGACATTGCCTCACTATACGGGAATAATTGATCTGCTAAGTAATTTAATGGTACAGACTAGCAGTAGGAAAGTTTTGACTACTCAGACCAATTCTGCAAATAGCAGCAAGTACTGTAGAAGCGCCGTTTACTGCCACGCTATGGAGACCACTCCTCACACATCTTTCTTGAGCATACTGGTTAGGGACTGGTTCTTTGCATTGCTGATGATTCACTGTCAGTTTCCATTAAAGAAAGAGTTCAAGAGGAAGGTTAAAATTTCAAGTGAGGTTACCAAGGACATTTTGTTCATTAAATATTTGTTAACTTTTTTATTAGCTGATATGCAGTTGGTGAGCGCCTGCCATGTGATTCTCTGTGTGGGACGCTGATTTGTTACAGTCCATCGAGTTTCTGCACATGGCATTGCATGACCTCAGGTAGAAATGGAGGCAGTTCACCCCCACCTAAAACAAGTCCGTTGTCTACAGTTTGAAGCACAGAGTAGTTAACTGAGAAAAGGAAATCTTGTGGGTAGGACAGCACTACCTATAGGAAGCCTGTCATCTGTACATGCAGGAAAAGTTTTAGAAGATACCATGTTTCCCCGAAAATAAGACAGGGTCTTATATTTATTTTTCCTCAAGAAGACACCCTAGGGGTTATTTTCATGGGATGTGGGGTTTTTTTTTAAGTATGGTACAACAATCTATATTTATTCAAATATAGTTAAGTCGTCTTCTTCTGGAACATCATCATAACTCTCCAAACCCCGAATTCCATCCTGAATTTCTTGCAACTCTATTTCCTTTAAGAACCATTGGCCCCAATCTCTCATGACGTGCAATAGAGCTGTCATGGGGCAGATGAGAAGGGCTGCTCATCTTCTTTACCGCTCCGCAATGAAATGCATGAGTTGTGCAGATACGCTGTGTAGCCACGCCCATCACTAGGGCTTACTTTCGGGGTAGGGCTTATATTGCACAAATGCTTAGAAATCGTGCTAGGGCTTATTTTATGGGTAGGTCTTATTTTTTGGGAAAGACGGTAGCTGCACAGGAAAGACAGGAAGAACATAAACTGTTGGATACCAATTGGGTTTTTTCCTGTCATGGTTACTGGTTAGCTCTTTGGGCAGAGGAGATTCCAGAAGGTTTCAGCCCTCACCTGAGAACACCGGTCCCCGAGCCACAGTCAAAGCGGAACTCCACGTGGCCCCCTGCCATGGTGATGGACAGGAAGTCTTTGCTGCCCGTGTCATAGCTGTACAGCAGGACACCGTCCCCCGAGTCTGGCCGAAACGTGATCTCGAACTCCATGAAGGAAAGGTAGTGCTGGGGCTCTAGTGGCCAGGGCGTTGCAGCGTATGATCTCAGAGACGCTCTGAACTGAGGAATGGTCAAGGTGAAAGCTGGAGAAACAAGCACGGTGTTAGAAATCCCTCTGTGCAGAAACTGGCTAGATGTGCACCCACAGCCATGTTCTTTCTCCCTGGGCACAGACCTAAACAACATTTCCCAGCTGCCCTGCAGGTAGGCTAGTAGAATGTCAGTGAAAGTATGACATTATGCAGCTCCCTAAGTCTAGCCCCTAAAAGTTCCCTCTATCCCCTCTCTCTTCTCTCAACTGCTGGCTGGATGTCGGAATCGTTGGAGGACTCTAAGGTCCTAGAAGAGCTGGAGCAGAACCCCCCCCCTTCCCCCACCACCCCTGCCCTGCAGTGATTTGTGATATGAGCAAGAACCCGCCTTTCTTATGTCAGGCTATGGAGCTGTGAGATGGTGTGCGACACCCTGGGCTTACCCCCACTCAAATGCCCTCTTGTGCTGACATGAAGTTTGAGATTATAACATCATAAAATTTTTTCCCAGGATGATATCTTACATGCAAATTTGAATTACTCTTGGAGGAATTTGACTAGCTTTGTGATCTTAGCCCCAGTTTATTTTTTTGTTGTTTTTAATTTTGGAATTCTGGAAAAATTAAAGCATACTCAACCTTGTATGATTTTCCAAAATCTTAAAAATGTTCAGTTATTGTTTATATATGTTTGTGTGAACATATGTCTATTTGTGTGTTTCATATGTGTTTATAATTATTAATATATACAAATATATGTGTGCATGTATTTTTTAACATAATACATATACACAGTATCGAGTGGTGAAATAATTCAGTAGAACAGTACAAAGAAGAAAAGACAAGGTCCCTTCTGTCCCATCTCATTGCAATGTTTCTGTGTGTATCTTCCCAATCTTTTCTCTGAAAATGTCAGGCATTCTAAAAGGCATGAGCATAAGCTTTAAATGCTTTAAATTCAGTCTGATACGAACCACACAAGTATAGACTTTTTAAGTTATTTGAAGGCCGAGAGGAGCCAACTCATGCCTAGAATCTTAAAATGAACATATCCTGGGTCCCTTTAAACTCTGGCACTCAGACACACTCCAACCTGGTAAAGAAAAGCCTCCCCCATCCCTCCCAACAAAGCACCCTGGATAAGAGCGTCTGGGGCTTTGTTAAAGGTACATTTCATGAGAAATTACGTCCACAGGAATCAACACGCAGACAGAAGCTGCCACGAACTTGCTTCTTTCTCACCCTCTTCGCAGTGTCGCCCTTTAAACCCGAGGGGACAGAGGCAAATGTAGGAGTCGGCCTTGATCGCTGTGCAGGTGCCGCCGTTGATGCACGAGGCCTCGTCGCAGATCCCGCTGCTGCATTCCCCTACACACAGAGCGGCAGTTACACGGCTGGCCCTGCGCCAGAGCCAGTCTGGCACGGCGAAGCTGGCCACGCCAGCGCTCACGGGGCTAAACAGACACGGTGTGGTTCCCACTCCTGTGGGTTTGCATCTCTGTGCAACTGCAAGCCAGCTTTGAGGATAAGCAGAACCGGCTCTCTGTTTTCATTTGATTTTGGCATGTTCTTTACGAAGAGCCACAGAGACTTTTAAAAACATGATGGACACAATGAATCAAATAATAAATGGCTGGGCAATTTTATGGCCACCGATGGGGATGACTGAGTTGCTTATGCTTTAATTCCCCTCTCTCTCTGTCGTTCTCACAAGAGTATATTTCATTCCTTCCAATCTCAACAGTGTGTTTATGTTAGAAGCGTTCTAATTTGTGTGACCCCAATTAGTGTAAGTGCTGCTGCTGCCGCCTTGTGGGTTCAAAGTTGAGACAAAGTAAGGTAAGCACTGAAGGAGTTAAGCAGCGTTGTCTAAGCCGCCTGAACCGTCGACTCCTCTGTCCAGGACAGGGAGGTGAGGAGAGAGGGCTCCCCAATACCCAGCATGTGGGTTCTAGAATCCCTATTTCTACCTCGGAAGTTACAATCTTATGAGGGACAGGAGGGTGCCTACAGTAAAAAGTGCCAAAAGGTTCAAACATCAGATGGGTGAGTTCTCACCACCAGAGAGCTTCATAAAGGGCATTACTTTGTCATTTGCAAGTCTAGATCATCAAATGAATTGAAAACAAATGAACTTTTCCTGAGCTGCTTTTCTTCTGCTGCTTTGGTCTTGCTTTTCCCTTTGTGTATAAGAAATACACCGCAATCTAGCCCTGAACTATATAGGCGAGTATAAAATACTTCTTCTGGGGATGGAGCGAAGGGGCATGTCTCTGATCGGGCCATGAAGCAAAGGGCCCGGCTGTGCCTGAGCCGGTTTCCAACGCTGCACCTGCACGAGCTGGACGCCCACGCCCTGCGAGAGGAAGAGCCCTCCCCCGACAGAGTGTGTCACCTCAGCAGGGCGAGTCTCTTATTCTTCCCTCATCAGTCATCTGTGTTCTTAGAACTGGTCCAGTCTTTTCTTTTCATTAAAACTAACTAGGAGGAGGGGGAAGAACCAGGCACCCAGTGGGAACCCAGGGGAGGAGACTGACTTCAGGGGCTGCCCGCAGAATTTGATTAAAGCCCTGGCAGGTGGCTGGTCACCACAGCTGGTGGCCGCTAGAAGTTCAGGCAGACATGACCGGGGGTCTCTCCTCAGCCACAGCCCTGAGAACATCGCCCCCAGCATTCCCAGGCTCCACAGAGACGCTGGCTTTGATCTCAGGGAGCCAAACACTCACAGGTCCCTGGGCCCCACCAATGTCTGTGGGCTGCGACTCTTTCTCAGAGCAGGGCTGATTCCACAGGAAGTGGGGGCCTGGGGTTATTTCAGATACACATGGAATAAATTACTTTACAGATCTTCTGCGTTGTAACTACTGAGGTGGGAGTGGGGCAGGTGGAGGTCATGGAAGCCAGCCAGAGCTGACCGGATGAAAGCAGGATTGCAGCGACGTTACCTGGCAATGGCGTGCCAGACAGACAGAGGAGTGCTGGGGGCGGGAGAGAGAAGAGAAATCTGTCGGGAAGGTAAAGCGGGACCCAACAGGGTGACGATGGAGAGAATGTGAAGAGTCAATGAGACTCAGGGGAAGAAGAAATGAGAGCTCAGTCTGGAGGCTGAAGGCGGAAGAAGAATCCAGCATGCTCTTGAGGTTTGTAGCTTGGAAGACGGAAGAACGGCGGTAAGAGGGCCGGAGCGAGGGTGGCTGTGGACGGGAACGGGCTTCTGAGACGCAGAGGAGGAGCTCGCTTTAAGTGTGAGATGGCTGTGCAAATAGCGACTGCTGGCGTCAGCCCTTGATAGAAAGGACAGAGGTTCTCAGGCTTCCCCAACCAGCGGGGACCAGGCGGGTGCCCAGCATGGCACCTGTCTGAGCTGGAGAGGCTGTGAGCACGTGGCTAAGCTACAGCAGGGTCTGTGAGCCTAGATGGGGAAAACATTACATCTCTGTTTTCCCTAATCTCTGACTGGAATTGAGTATGCATTTCTCTCAATACAGGCAATATACTTCTAGTACGAACAGTTCTTACGTCTTGTGAACAATAGCTCACAGCTATTGTCACATTTCACTTACTGCAGATATCTCAAAATATCATTCATACTCATTGCTACTTTGGAATCATGGTAGTTATTTCACCCACCATTAAATAATCCCATTCCATAATGCTTTCTAGAGAAGCACATATATAATTGTAATAGCAACACTTAGAAAATAATTTATAGCTGCATTTCAATATAATGGTTTCCTCTTATAATATTATGTATACTGTTTTTCCACATTCAGAAACTTCATTCTGAGAAGAAGTCCAGAGGCCTCACCAGACCACCAAAGCTGGGGCTGCCACACCAAAAAGTTCAGAATCCTGAGCTGTTGGGGACAGAGAATCCTGGCCGCCAGGGCCCGGGGAAGCCAGGAAAGGTGAGAGAAGATGGAGACGGCCAGGTTTGTTACAGAGAGGAGGAACACTTTCAACTCTGAGAGTGACGGGCTGGTAGTGCAAGGCCGTGCACATACAGAGCTGCGGAAACCTCATCATCCATACAGAAGGTAGCTTTCACTGCAGCCTGCTATAAGCCAGCTGTTGTGTAGTTTTACGTTAGATGATGAAGTGAGGGCAGCAGAGACACAAGACTCCCAGGGAGGGAAGAGAAGGTGGGACATCAGTGGGTGGAGTTCATGAAGGAGACCACAGATAATGCACAACCTCTGTCCCCCAGCCCACACTCCATAACCGAGGCCTGCCCGTTTCCCCTCTAATGATCTGTCAAATCAGTTTCTGTCTCAGCCACCTGCACCAGCACACCAGCGTGTGTCATTTGGACTGTGCAACGGATTCTCAGATTGTTACATGTACCCCCAGGTGCCCCTTTCAATGAGCTATGGCGAGAGGATCTTTTCAAACACAGACTAGGTCATGGCACCCATCTCCCCTCCTATTCCTACTGGAATAAGCCTTTTCCTCTGCCTGGAATGCCCTTGCCTCTCTTTTCTATCTTTGAATGCCTATTCTTGCTTCATGTTAATTTCCCCTCATTGTAATTTCACGTTTACTTGTGTGATGATCTGATTCATTTGGTCTCTTGTCGTGGCGGCTACACAAGGTCTGGCAGGGATCCTGTCTGTCCTGTTCATTACTTTATCTCCAGTGCCCAGCCTTGTGACCAGCACTAAGCAGGTGCTCAAAGACATATTAAGTGAGTGAAAGAATGAGTAAACGAGTGGCTAAGCCATAGTGAGACCGCCGGCCGCAGCACACCTCTTGAATCTTGAATAACTTGGTAAGCTGGCTCTGTGACATTGCTCCAGCAGGGTGTGGAGATCCAATATGGGATTGGAATAGATGAGAGGTGGTGCTTTCAGTTTGAGAATTTGAGAGGAAATAATAAAGGCTGGGCCAGAGAATGCAAAATTTTGCTTAGATTGCTGACTATTCTAGAATGTGACTTAGAGAGGGAGTGCAACAGCTGGGAACAGTAGAATGAAGGAGATAGGAGGTGAAGTGAGAGGAACCGAATAATGAAAGTCCCCTCTGAGGAGTGCAAACAGGTGGGCCGGGGGAGGTGGGACAGAGAAAAAGTCATGGTTGAAGATGAGATATCAGATGGAGTAACCATGTCCTCCATAGTCAGACTGGGTTTGACTTATAAAACTAGAATTTCAGGAGGACTAACTCAAAGAAAAGCAAATATGGAGACTGAGAAAAGATAAGAATCTCTGCTCTTGTACCCCCAGGGAAAATAAAATGGGAAAAAATAAAAAAAAAACAAGACTGGCATGTGCTATTAAAATTCATAGAGAGAAAAATCTGATAATCCAATAGCATTTTGGTGCCATCTGCATAATGGAGATGCCAGAAATCAGTTCTTGCTGAACTTTGCAACTTCTGAGCCTATCAGAGGTTACCCTGCATCCCTTGAAACTGCCGGGGCCTGGTCAAGGCTGTTTCTCTACAGAAACAAATTATAGATGCTTCGATGGAATTAGAATATGAATAATAAAATATTAATAACAGGAAATATTTATGTGTTTGCTATGTGCAAGGCCCACTTCCAAGCACTTTATATACCTTACAACTCCTTTAAATAAAATAATCTTATGAGATGGGTACTATTTATAGATGGGGAAACTGAGTTGCAAAGATTTGCCAAATCCAAGCAATCTGCCTGCAGAGTCCCAGCCCATAAGCACTGCACGAGACTCCTGACGGAACTGCTGGTTCTTAAGTTCTGGATTTTGGAGACATTGCCCTACCATAGTGGGAGCTTAATAATTGTTTCAGTCTCTTACTGTTTACTTTGACTAAGTGATCAATCATAAAAAATTACACAGGGAATAGCATGTGGATAGTAAACTTTTCTTGTTAAGTAAACTTCATCATTTGTAGTTAGAACAATGGAGTGAGCAGAGGAGGGAAACTATTTGAGGCTGATGTGGTAAGCTTTGATGTAGCTAATTTGGTTAAGAGGGTAGGCAGTGGAGCCAGAATGGCTGTGGTCACATTCACTAGCTGTGTGACCCTGGGCAAATTATTTAACTGTTCTGTACAACTGGTTCTCATCTGGAAACAAACTAATGATAGCACCTACTTCATAGGCACCATGGGAAGACTAAAGCAGTTTAGAATGGTGCCTACATAAAGTAGGAGCTCAACTAATATTACCCAAGAAATAAACAAATAAAAACACTGTACCTAGAGTCACAAGGATCTAAACTAGCTCTGACTGAGGAGTAGGGAGGCAGATGGATTGATAGGAGGTAAGGCAAATGCAGCAAGATGTGAATGGTAAAATGTAGGTAGTGAGTATATGATGCTCACTGTACATTCTTTCAAAATAACGTCTTAGAGATGGGAGGAAAAGAGACCCAAGAAAGGGACTTGCCATTTCTTGCCAATGTAACGGAGGATGTCAGGCTTCTAGTGGTGAGAGAAAAGCATGAGAGTCACAGTGGCACCAACCCAGAGTTCTGACATTGTGGAGTCACTTTATGGACTGAACTGTGTTTCCCCCAAAATTCACAAGGTGAAGCCTAAACCCCCAAAGTGGATATATTTGGATATAGGGCCTTTAAGGAGGTAATTAATGTCAATGAGGTCATAAGAGAGGTGCCCTAATCCAGTCTGACTGGTGTCCTTATAAGAAGAGGCAATTTGGACACACAGAGAGACACAAGGTACTTGCACACACAGAAAAAGGCCATGCGAGGACACAAGTGAGGAGCTGGCCATCTGCAAGCCCAGGAAAGTGGCCTCAGGAGAGGCCACTAACCCTGCCAACACCTTGATCTTGAACTTCTAGCCTTCAGAACTATGAGCCTTCAGAACATGAGAAAATAAATTTCTGATGTTTAAGCCACTCACTCCATGGGATTTTGTTATGATATCCCTAGCAGGCTAAGACAGCCACTGAACTAACCAACTTTGGAATTGGAATTATCTACCTATTGCCTTCAGTGATAGAATAAATATTATTATTTCTTTAAAAACAATCCTAGCTCTGCCTGCTAGTTTGAATAAGTTATCTAACTTCTACAAACCCTAGTTTCTTCATCTAGAAAATGAATATAATAATAATTTCTACCTCCTAGAGTTAGTGTGAAGAGTAAATGAGAAGGCAAATGAGAAAATGTTTGGCACAGTGGTCAAGAATTAGAATTTTCCCAGTTCTTTTCAAAGCAGTGAATAGATATATCTCTTCTTACATTATTATGTTGGCTTTTCCACTGGGCTGGGCGAGTTAAAGTGAAAGGGTTGGCTTGCTTGTTGCTTTGTCCAATGAGGCCATGCTATGTTTGCTGAAGATGTCCAAGATGGCAGCAGTACACAACCAAGGGTTTGGTGCACCATACTGTTACCATGTCTTGGCATTCAGACTCAGGGTCAACGTGTCTGCAGACCACCAACCTCACCTCTTGGGCCCACCTCCCTCCGGCAGTGCTGCACTAACCAGCTTCCCCAGATTGTAGCTGATGATGTTGCTGCTCCCCTCCCCAGCCCAAGCTAGAAGCAATCCCACAAGAGCACCCCAACCCCTTGGGCAGCCACTTACCCACATCAGCTCCACTGAGTGCTTTTCCCAGTGGCCAGGGCCTCATGTCGACTCTCTTCCCATTAACAGCGAGCAACTGCACACAGCCTTGAAAGCCTCGGTTTGTCCCTGTCGCTCTGACCAGCCAGTAAGCGCTGGGAGCCCCACCAAGATAGAGGGGCGTCCGGAAGGTGATTTTACTGTACTGGCCCTTTAAGAAAAATGAACACTCTCTCTCAGTAAACAAAATAAAAAGCCACAGGAGATTTGGATGAGGGACATAGTTAAGATGTAGCTTACGGCCCTACGTAAGAGTTTTCTCCATCTGTATTTATCTTTAAGACATTGGCCTGCTGGAAAATTAAAGCGGTGGTTACCATAGGGAACCCAGCGAGCTTCTCAGAGGGCCGTGCTTCCAGAAGGGATTATTTTGGAATGCTGAGATGGGAAGGGCAGGGAGGGGAGGTCAGAGCCAAGCCCAACCCAACGGGCAGTGAACCACGCTGGGAATCCAAAAAAAACTTTCCCTTTCCAGTCCTGACACCCATTGACTGTGTGCTTTGGCCGGGTCATAGGGCTAGTCTGTGCCTCAAAAGGCAATAATGCTAGCGTTGCGTGTGTACGCGGGCTAACGTTCACCCTTTCACTATCCTGGCGACCTTTATGCTGTACCCTACAAGAAACACCGCGGGGGAGACATTGCCAAACAGATTATGTTGCAAAGTTTTTTGAAATTTGCTTGTGGATGAGACTTTTTCTTTTTTAAGTGTTATTACAGTGAGGCAGGGAAATTTCTACTCTTAGAAACCACACTCTGGATTGCAGGTTTTGAGGTTACGAAATTCAGAGCTGAACACTGGGTGGGACAAAATTAAGGCACCTTTGGTCCTTCTTTTTCTGTTACAGAAATGTCTCATTCATTTGGATTAAAGGGTATGGAAGGGTGTTGAAAAAGGCGCACTGCCAGAATTTAGAATGTCCAGTGTAAGCCACTGTGATATCATCTTCATCCTTTAAACGTCTGTTAGAACAAGTGAACAATCTAATCACTGTTTTATCTTTACTAATGGATAGATAAGAATCATTTGTAAATAGTAGACTAAAACACAAGCTGGACAGCTTTATAGAGCTTGCAGTGGCTTTTAAGGATCGGTTGTTTTCCAGACACTGAGCATGCTACTTTCATTAGATGAGTTAAATGCCCTCTTGGCTTATTTCATCATAAGCCTCAGAATTTACTTCTTCTCGATCCCATTCTCATCCTTCCAGTCCTGTTCTCTGATCCAGGACGATAGCAGGGGGCCTTACAGACAACTCAATACTTTTCTAGAGCATTAAGTGCCTCCTGGGAGTGGGTGGCTCCTTTGAGGTACCCTTTACAATATTCCAGGCAATCATCTTCAAACCTGGTCTTTACGTTCCTTTGATGAGTGCTGCCTTCTGTTCCCTGGAGGCTGCTTTGCCTGCCTATGTAGAGAAATGAAAGTGCCCTGGAATCTGCATTCCCCAAGGAAAGCCCTTAACAGTTTGGGATAACCTCTGAGGTATGATTCATACTCCAGAGCTTCCCTGTAGGATCAGGCAGAAGCCATATCCTGAGGAACTTTGCCTGAGCTCTTGCTCTTGATTTCTTCCTCTTCCATGTCCATCTTCTCCTCTCTCTTAGTAGTCTCCCCTGGGAGCACTTTCTTAATACATCACTTGTACAGGACTCCTCATCTGAGGTCAATTTCTGGGGAGCCCCGTTTAAGATAAAATCACATCTCCCAAGACAGTTTATTAAACATTCCACATCTGTAGTCCTCGTTATCCAACTTGCTTAGCAAGTGGTACAGAGGCACACTTTGCCCTGAGTATCCATAAAGGTATATCCTTCTTGCAATTAATTATTTTGTTCATTAAAATCATAAAGTATTAGGATTATAAAAATATATAAAAACTCTTATAATCCAAGATTCCATTGGCTGTTGGATTCCTTATACATTTCTATCAAAAAGTTTAGATCAGCTACCTTTTGAACAGCCCCCAAGGACAAAGAAGCATCTCCTGAGATAGTCTGTTGCATCTCTGTCCCTTTGTACGATTGAGTGAAGCTAAAATTGATCTTTCTGAGGTTCTCCCAATTCAGCTTCAGCCTTGGAGATCCACAGCGTGAATCCTTCTTCCCCAAGACTCTCTATTTGACTCTATGATGAGAAGCTACCATTCGTGCTTCTCCAAACTAAATATTGCTCCTTCATCATCTTCTCCAAACGAAACATCGCTCCTTCAATCAATCATTAAAGGGATTTCAAGTTATCTTTCTGTTGGAGTGACTGCCTATTGAGCATGCTCCAGTTTGTCCATGGCCTTATTAGCATGTGATCACAGATCTGAATGTAATCCTCTCAGAGTACTAGAGTCACCAGGAGAGTCACTAGAAGCTGTTACATAGTCATCTGAATACAAGAAGATCATCACCTTCCTTCTTCTAGATGCTGTGACTCTATTAACCCAGCCTCTAATTTCTTTAGCTTGTTGTTGCTACTACATGGCCCTGCTTGTTAACCTTTATTGTATGTACCTCCTTACTTCGAACTATTAGACATTTTCGCACCTGTTGCTTCTATTGTAGCTTCTCTATCCTGTCTTCAAGTTAGTATTTTGGAACCAAGTTAGAAGTTTCTTTATTCCTATCAAACTTCATCATGTTGGGCCTATTGCTCTGGCATTTATGTGACTCTGTAGTTCATTTACCCTGTTTATCCCTTTTCTAGCAATATGGGCATAAGCAATGTCCCTAGATTCACATTTACTATATTTGGATTCTTGTTCCTTTGGAACCATTGGGATCAAAATTAATGAGATTTTTTTCTATTCTTTTTTTTTTTTTTTTTGTGGTGGGGGGATCAGCACAGCATGGCCTTTTATTTAACGCATCTTGCCAGCAAGAGTAGTGAATGGCCCAGGCAGAGAGGAAGCTATATGCATATACACAAAGGCTTTCTTGCTACGTTTTTCCTTAGAGAATTCGGACACCTGCTTGTTTATAATTACAGGCTTGGTACCTTGGCAGGTTGCTAATCTAAACTGTTTATTCTAAACATAGCCCTAAAATTCCCCAGAGCATAACATGTATGTGAATACCTAGGTGATTTTCCAAGGAGCCCAACAGTTAAATTATTTTACCACTTCCTATAATCATGGCCCCCCAAAAGGTAGATGAACAGATTATTCCTGCATAGTGAACCAAGTGACCCTTTCAGGACTATTTTCTAAAGCCACAGGGTTGCAACACCCCTGCCATCAAGGCAAACTTTGAATTTGACACTAATATTGGGTTCTAGCCTTCCAACATGGGCCTTCCTCTACCCCGGCTTTGAAGTCCTTGCAGAAAGCAAACAAGTCCCTTGGCACAAGCCACAGCATGTACCTGTCTGTGCACCCACCAACGATGATGTGTACAAGTTCAGTTCTTCCCCTCAGTGTGCCCTAAAATCTCACCTGGGGTGGCAAGACCCAGCAGGAGCATAGCGAAGCTCAGTTGTGTAGGTTCACCATGAAAAATGGGCGTCACCAAGTCTGCCCTGAACTTGAATCCTGCTGACTGTGCCTCGGCACTGCAGTGAGCTCCTCTTGGGACGCTTACGGTGGGTGCTGGGTGGGACAGGCGGGGTGCGAGGTGTGTACTCACCTGGGAGTGGCCGGTCACTGGGGTGCCATTGTTCAGCTGCAGCAGCCCATTCTGCCCGTCTCTGTAGAGTGTAACCACGTGCCAGCCTCCCAGTTTGATTTTGGTCTCACTTATGATGACGGCAACCCCTGTTCCACAATTAAACCTGTGGGAAGAAAAGGAAATGTCTTTGATCAACCAGCTCACTATGTTTTCAGACTTCATGGACCTCACTTCCAGGCTCCTTTCAGAGTCAATCTCAGAATTATGTTTATGACTGTTTAAGTCTATACACAGAAGAACCAGACGCCTCTTCCCTGGGGGTGATCTCAGTCTAGATATCTTCAATCTGTCCACAGGACCTTTCAGTGAGGGGTCTTCTTTAACCTGATTTTCTCTGCAGCTTAGAGAAAGATGAGCAACTAAGGCCCTCCCTCTCCTTTTCAGAGATTGCCAGATGCTTAGTGTGGATTCAAGGCGCAGAGAATTAGACTGTGAGTCACTCTGCTTCCAGAGATTTCTCCAGAGACTTTCTCCAACTCTCAAATGATAGGCTCAGTGACATTAATAACAAGTTAAAATCCAAGTCTTCACACTCTTTTTGGCAAGCTGGCCAACCTGCCGTCCGTGTTCAGTTGTACCCGATACAAGGGAGGTGTCCAGAGGAGGCTCCAGCTCGGGAACAAGGTGTGGGATGGGGGAGGAGCATCCTCAGATGGCTGCATTCGTCTTGTTTTTTCCCAACCTCCGTTATAGCTCAGGGTGGCCACCGGGCACTATGCCTGACAGGTAGAACTTCAGTCTTTTCTGGTCAATTTCCAAATAGCCACCACACCACTTCCACACGGATCTTGAGATTGCTGGTGGGAAAGGAGTCATGGCTGGCATTTTCCTTCTTAGGATTTGCATTATCTGCAGCCACTTCTCAGGCCTCCCTTTGTCTCCAAATCAGGAATGGAGTAAGAAGGGGTCAAGGGGCATTGCAGGACGGGCTTCCCTGGAGGGGGATATCAGGCTCACTCAGGAGGAGCCAATAACTGCCAGCGCTACTGAGTGTCTATCTGATTCTCCAAGTGCTACAGCCCTAACCACTGGCCCAGATCCTGGTGGGGGACCCATTTTCTAGCCCAAGTGGGACACTCAAAAGTGTTCTCCAACTTAACCAAATGCTATATGCTGAAATAATAAAAATAGACAATGATGGTTGATGCTTACTGAGTGTTTGGTCTGAGTGAGGCACTGCTCCAAGCACTTTTATGGGTTAACTCATTTAATCCTCACAATAGCCCCATAAGGAAATGCAGGCTTGGAGAGGTTGTGTCATTTGCTAAAGACCAGGCAGCTGGGGAATGGTGCCATTGGGATCTTGGCCAGTGCACTACGGAGAAGGACAAGGCTGGTGTCCATTGGTTGGTCACAAATAGGTGCAGTGTACATCTGCACAAGAGTGAGTAAAATACTCACCTTTCTACAAAACTCTGTCCCCAAGAAGACTACACATATGCTAAAAGTAGCTTCCAAAGTGTGTTGAAGGAGAAATGATCAGGGCAAAGGAGGCAAGCCAGAGTCACCATATTTCTGGGGAAGGCGAGGAAGAGGCCTGAGCCTCGGTGAGCCCTTAGGAGGTTGGAGGCTCTTGGCCGCCCTCCATGGCTGTCTGCCATATTTGCCACAAGGAGACTGGGAGAAGACCCCAGCTTTCTTCCCATCACATCCACTAGAGCTCCAGGAGAGAAAAGACCTCATCTCTGTGGCTCACTGCTGCATCCTCAGGATATAAAGCAGTGCCAGGTACACTGTGGGTGCTCAAGAAACACTGAATGTTGAATGAATGAATGGTTACCAGATTCCAAAACTCAAGTTCAAAGGTTACTATGCCTGTATTTGGTAAACTGGTCCAAGCTCATCTCATACACATGATTCCTTTGTCTCTTGGAATCCATCTTGTATATATTTTATTCACAATATAAAATGCAAATATAATGTTGGACAATGTAAAAAAAAAAAAAAAAGAAAAAAAGCAAACCTGTGGGGCTTTTGGCAGGACTTACCTGAACTGGAGGGAGCGTCGGATGAGAGCCAGGGACATGAAATCTCCCCTCCCGTGCTCGTTCTCCCCACAGTAGAGCAGTAAGCCATCCTCCGCCTCCGCCTGTTATTACACAAACAAAAGCCACATGAACAACGAGCACCTCCTCTTCCATAAAGTGCCCTCTGGAAACACTCATGAATACAAAACTTGAGCAATCTCATTTACAGGAGCAAGCACATGGGCTCAAATGTAATCCCAGGTACCCATCCCAGGTCATTTTTAGTAAACACAGGGCAGTGACAGAAACCGTGTGTGGAATGGCAGTGAGGTGAGAGGACGGTGGCCCAGCTATGACCTGCTCTTTACTTGGCTTTCTGGATCCACCCACAGAGCCTCTGGCAAACCGTATGTGTAGACCCCATGGTCACAGAGAGGAGGTTGCTTATGCTCATCACATTCTATTTTCACCAAAAAGCATTTTTTTTATTCTTTTTACCTCCCTTGCTTTGGGGAGGCATGCACATTTGCTTCTTTCCTTCTATTTGGGGAATGGGAGGCTGACAGCCATGCTGTCTTAGACTGTGACAGGTCCTCTCTTGGACCCTCAGCACGGTGGCCATGACTTCAAAGGGGACTTGTTCTCAGATCTCCATACTTTTTGTGTCTTTGGGGATACCTAAAAGAATCAGTTTAAGCTGAAGTTACCGACTAAATTCTCTTCTGCAGTTGACTCAGATCAGAGAGCCTCCCTCGGGCCCTCACGATACACCAGGGTTGTGTAGAGTACAGTTTTCTATTTGTTCAGTTACAGCTATCACAGTGACGATAGACAAGTGGGCTCCATTTAAAGGGGATTTTGGAATGGTGAGTGTATTATTTCTTCTGAAATCCTGGCCTGGGGGGAAGCGCTATCATAAACAACATTACTGGGCCCCCAACATTATCCCTGGGAACCTCCGGCCAGCTTCTTCCACAGGTTGGTGACACACAAAGCCCACCCCTCACTGGCACACTTGAAAGTGGTGGATGGGCCCATCATTCCTGCTCTGCTCTGAGCTGAGCTGGTTTAACGACAGGCTCTATGTCATTTTCACCTTTGATCACTCTCCCTGCTTCCTCTCTTCCTCTCCCCCTCCCTTTGGATGTAGCACAGTCTTGTGTTGAGGTGTCCAAAAATCACTCATCAAACAACTAAGCCCTCTTACCCTAAATTCAAGAGTAATTTGAAATGCCTGATAGGAGTTCTTCAGAGGTTCAAAGGTTACATAGGAGTGGCCAAAGAACTGAGGATACTGTATAACAATATCTGAAAAGAAAAAAGACAACACAAAAGGATGCTATTTCCTCACTTCTTCAAAGGCAAAAATCAATATACATTGTTGTCTGGATATCGATAAGTGAAAACCCCTGCTAAGCTTTTCAATTTAACTTACTATCTTCTTTTCTCTACTTTTTACACCTACTATTCTCATTCTTGGGGACTTTGAGCTTCAGAAGTTCTTAGGAAGAAACTGCATTTTTGGGGATTGGTACTTGCTTTCCTTAAAAGAAATCAATGGCTGTAAGACCCCAGTCACCTGTGCTCAGCTGTACATTTGTGTAATGCAAGTTTGCCCAATTATTAGGCTTCTTAACCTTCTCATACATGTTTTGGCTGCACTTTTTGATAGAGATGTAACAACAGTAAAGACCACTTCTCTAAGGAGCTGTCATGATGACGTATTGGTTACTCCAAAAGAACTACACATCTGACACACATAGAAATACGGCTGCTGTCTAATTAGAAGCAATGGAAGTTGCCTCACAATTTGCCTTGTATGGCTAATAATGGAAGAAGGGACTTATCTTAGGAAAGGGACTAGAAAGAACCATGTTTGGACCAGAAAATGGCCCTCTGGCTCCCAGTGGCGCCAGCCCACCACCATGCTCTTCCCCTCCCGTGCGGGCCTACCTTCCGAGCAGCTCTCGCCACCTTTGCCCAGGTTGCAATGGCATCGCGAGCCGCCCCAGGTGTAGTCATTGGCACAAAAGCTGTCAGCAGAGCAGAGGGTTTCATCACAAGACATGTCAAAGAGCCTTGACATCATGGCCACAGCCTCCTTCCCCTTCCTCTGTACGGGAGTGGGCTGGGGAGCCACGGTAGTCGTGGGGGGAGATGCTGAGGTTGGGGGGACAAGCCTGGAAAGGGTCTTTGGGTGAGATAGAGACGTCATCTTGGTTTCCTCCAGAAGTTTCTTATTCCCTCCTTTGGTAGCAGGAAGTGGTTTAACCTAAAGCCAGAGAAGGAAAAGGGGTTCAGGATCAACGTGGAGCATGCTAATTAGAGTGCTTTATTGGTGGTTGTTGCCTAATATTTGAAAACATGGTCACTGTTGACACTTCCAAAAACCCAGGGATGGATATGCAGTAGAGAGTACTGGCTTCAATTTGTGGACAAAGAACTTGAATCCCAAAATTTTAAGTACCTTGCCCTGTGTGGCTCAGAAAATCAGTAGTGAAGCTGATATTATGTGATTTATTCTTATCTCAATATTATAAAGATGCATTACTTTGTCAAGGAATTGTTCATTTCCTTATAATACCTGATTTTATAAAATGTCACTTGCTGGGAAATCTAAAAATCTTTCCGCCAGATTGTGAAGTCAGCAGGCAGGGGCTGTCTACAGCACTGCAGCGTGGTTGGTACTTCCCTACCACTAATTTATGATCACCTGGAGCCTAATAGTCAGAGGAAACTAATAAGCATTAAAAGCAAATGGGCCAATTTAAGTTTTAAGTAAAATGTTCATGGCCCATTGGCTAAATTGCCTTGTTTGGCAAGAAAACAAAAACAACCTGGGTTTTAAGAGCAGAGCTTATTGTTACCTCCTCAAAGGAAATATCCAAATCTAAGTCGTCTTCAAATCCATCATCATCCTCACCGACACCCGTGTCGGTGATGTAGTGGGGTCCATAGCGGCCACTTCCTGCTTCTCCGGCACCTTCACAGAGAAAAGCAGCACACTTTCCATCAGCAAATGTCTGCACTCCATTTTCCATCCTAACTCAGGCCTACAGAGAGCTGAAGGGATCAGGGCATATTGAAAACATATAAGAAATTCAACACAGAAGAAGAACCATCGATGAGCAAAAAATACAAAAATAAAATGTTTCCTCTCATAAGTAACCAAGGAAATGCCAATTGAAATAAGAAATAGCTGCTATTTTATACTGACAAGACTGGGAAAATATGAGCCAGGCAATAAAACAATAATACTAAGGATCAGCTCAATGGGGACTCTCATATGCCCATATTATATGTGTAAACTGGTGCAACCACTTTGCAAAACACTTAGAACTATTTAATAAAGTAGAAAGTGTTTATACCCAGCAATCCCACCCCAAACTTAAAAAAACCTAGAAAAACTCTTTCACATTTATACCAAGAGGCATTGCAAAATGGATTCAGTGCATCAGAATTTGTAACAGTAAAAAATACCCCAAATTTTCTATTTATAAAAACAAACATACACTAAATGTCCATCAACAGAGAATGGATAAATGAAGTATAGTGTATCTATGGAATGGAGTACCATATAGCAGGGGAAATGAATGAATGAGCTCCTGATGCATCAACAGGGCTTAATCTTACATGTTGTCATGCAAAAAAAAAATGCAAGTTGCAAAAGCACATACAGTTTGATGATACTATTTATGTAAAATTCAATAGCAAAGAAAACATTATATGTTATTTAGGGATACATGTATATATAATTTAAACTCTTAGGAAAAGTAAGACAATTGCAATCACAAAAATACCCAAGGAAGAATAGAAGAGGGATATAAATGAGGTATGATTCAAAGGGGCCTTTGAGAGGACTCTATAATGTTCTATTTCTTAAGATAGGTGTTGGGTACATGTAAGTGTTCATATTATTTTTTACATATTACATATATACTTTTGATGTATGAAGTATTGCATTAAAAGTTCTTTATAACAAAAAAGGAGATTATAATGGAGCAAACATTCCCACACCCAGAAAAAAAGGAGTCCTATATGGTATTTTGGGGGGGAGGACAACCATGTTCATCCATTTGAACAGAATAACAGGATCTTTCGGAACTGGAAGGTGGGCTGAGAAAAACTGTCAGAAGACAACATGAGGCACTATGCTTTGGAGGATAGTCAGATTAGCATTTTATTCAGTTGTCACCCACAAAATCTCCTATCCACACGAGTCTGGTTCAGAGTCTGGACAGGACGCACTCTACAAAGCGGTGGCAGCCCTTCAAAGAGCTGTTCCATGGTGCCCTGTTTCCTTGCAGCGGTTTGGGCCAGCACAGGTATCAGCTAGCTGCCTTCTCTCCACTGCACAAGCCAGGCACCAGCCTTCAGGGCAGTGACAGCTTCGGAGCAGAAACTGACTTTGGTGGATTGCTGATGCCTATTGGTTGTTAGATATCCACTGTTTGGACAACTAGTTAAAAAAAAAAAGAAAAAATGACAAAAAACATAAACTGAACTTGATATTCTGCTTTCAGAATAAGCTAAGCTGAATGCCTTTCTCACAAAAACAAACTCAGCTTCTTTGTCTTAGTTCATTTGGGCTGCTATAACAAAAATGCCTTAAACTGATGGCTTATAAACAATGAACATGTATTTCTCACAGTTCTGAAGGCTGGAAATCCAAGATCAAAGCGTTGGCAGTATCCGGTGAGGGCCTACTTCTGCACAGATGGTGCTTTCTGGCTGCATCTTTACATGGTGTAAGGGGTAAACAAGCTCCTTTGGGGCTCTTTAATAAGGGCACTAATCTCATTCAGGAGAGCTTCAACCCCATGATCTAATCAACTCTCAAAGGCCCCACCTTGGGGTTAGGACTTCAACACATGAATTTGGGGGCGGGGGCATAAACATTCAGACAGTGGCACTCCTCCAGGCAAAATTGCAGCCAGATTGAAAATGGAGCTGAAGGAAATGATGGAAAGTCATTTTTGTCAGGGGCATGCTGTTGACCAGAAGAGAGGGATGTGGTCGGGAGGTGATCCAGAGGCAGGTGGAATGAGCTATATTCTCAGGTGTCCAGGCACATCTTGGAGGAGGTGGGATAACACAGGGGAGGTGGTGTTCTCACCTCTTCCAAACCAATTCTCCACAGTTTCACATAGCCCACCTGTCAAAATTTAAGCCTGTTGATGCCAGATTTTATACCTGGATGCACGTTCTCCCGAGCCACCTGCATGCAGCACAGCTACGTGCCAGACATCTTCACACAAAAAGCCAAGAGCCCTAGAGGACAGCTTCCTCCTTTTGTCTGTCTTCATCTCTGTACAGTATTCCTCTTTATCTGCATTTTTGCTTTCTGCAGTTTGGGCTACCCTTAATCAACCATGGTCCAAAAATATTAAATGGGAAATTCCAGAAACAAACGATTCATAAGTTCTGATTAGTGTGATGAAATCCTGTGCCGCCGGCTCTTGTCCTGCCTGGGAAGTGAATCGTTCCTTTGCCCAGTGTGTCCATGCTGTATACGCTCCCTGCCCGTCCGTCACTGAGCAGCTGTCTCAGTTAGCAGATTGAATGTCGTGGTCTGGCAGTGACTGTGTTCAAGTCACCCTTATTTGATGTCGTCAGTGGCCCCAAAGCGTAAGACTCAAGATGCTGGCAATTGGGATATGCCAAAGAGAAGCCATGCAATGCTCCCTTTAAGTAAAAAGGTGAAAGTTCTCAATAAGGAAAGAAAAAAAAAAACTGTATGCTGAGGTTGCTAAGATATATAGTAAGAACAAATCTTCTATTCATGAAATTGTGAAGAAGGAAAAAGAGGTTTGTGCTAGTTTTGCTATATATACAGGATTTGGTACTATCTGTGACCTCAGGCATCAGTGGGGGGCTTGGAACATGTCCCCCGTGGATAAGGAAGGGCAACTGTGTCTTTCTCTCTCCCTCCATGCCTCCCTCTCATTCCCTGGATCTCTCTGTCCTTTCCCTCACCCTCCATTTCTATCTCTATCTCTCTCACATATTCAGATTTGCTGGATTTCAGAAGAACAAATCCATTTGGTGATAAAAGGATCCTATAACACATGCATGTAGAAAGCTGCTTTTTATCTTCATAGGTTGCTGTCTCTAACTCCAGGATGTTTTTCCTTTCCCTGCGCACCTTCTTGGTGTTCTCGTACAACTTGTCATCAATGTTAAGATCCTCTTCATCTTCATCTTATGGTTCCCTATATGAAAAAGCACCTTCAGTGTCTTCCCCCTGCCTAAAACATAAATTCTAGCCTCCTTGGTCAAAAATTCAAAGATCTCAATTAAAACAATTCTTCTTTTTTCTCCTTCTCTCCCCCATCACCATTACTGGTTGAAATCTACCGCCTCCCTCCTTCTTACCAAGTACCATTAGGTGCTTACCATCATATACTTCTAAACCTTACAACAATCCTGCAACCTAAGCATGATGAATCTCATCAGATAAGTAAACTGAAGCCAAGGGTTAAGTGATTTGTCTAAAATAACAGACTTTCTAACTGGTCAATCCTAATTCAAATTCAACATCTGTCTAGTGACAGCTCCCCTGCTCTCTTGTAAGAGGAGAAACCACTGTGGATGTAGAAAGAGCCTGGGATTTGAAAAAATTAACATATACTGATCATTTTTAGTGCTCCAGGATCTTTTGGTGCATTTTTTCTATTAATCCTCACAAAATACTATGAAATTGGTGTTATCACTCCCATTTTACCAACGGAGATATAAATATATAGAGAAAAAATAACTCACCGAAAGGCATGCAGATAGTAAGTGGTAGGGCTAGAATTTATCCTTGATCTCTCTTTTGACTATATCATGCCACTTAATCTGAATCCAAATTATGTTTTCAGGTCCTCTTTAAAAGCCATATAATAACTAAAGTGGTCTACCAGTTGTCTCCTTAATACATAATGTATTTTCTTGTATGTTCTTACTCCAAGACCTTGGTTAATGTTCTTCTCCACATTGCCATCTTTTCCCATCTCCTGTCTCCTTACACATAACCTACCTACTCTTCCAGTTGGCATGCAGTCTATGGAGACAGAACTAAATATGTACAACCAAAAAGCCAAAATCAAGTGATATTTTAAAAAGAGAACATCAGACTTTTCTGGGGTAAAAATGGTGACTCCACAAAGTATTAAGCTACCAAGACCTGTAGGACATTCCTTTGTCTTCTCCTGGATGGGGTAACTCACCCATGGATATATGCCCCTAATAATAAGCTTCCATAGGTTAATAAAATCAATGTACATCTTCTGGACTCCTGGCCTTAGAATTCTCCCATTGCATTGACCAATTCAATTGTGAACCCCTTGAGGGCAGAAACCATAAGATTTCTTGATATCCTTCCCCTTCCTCCATTTAACTAACATTTCACATACTCACCCATGGCCAAGACCTCTACCAAACAGAGAAGACATTCCCACAATGCTGCACTATGTCCTATTCTGGCCCAAGTGGCCCAGGCCTATTTCAGTGGGGGAAATATCTGGAGAGAAATCCTTACATGGTAGAACTCTGATTTCAAATCCAAAGACATTCCCCCAAACAGCCACCAACCCTGTCCCTTTCCCCAACTCAGAACTAGAAGTTACAGTTGAAAGAGACCTTAGACACCCAGACCAGTCCAACCATAGAGACCATCCAGTCCAACCTCATTTCATAAATGTGGAAACTGAGCCCACAGAAGAGAAGTGATCTAAAACCAAGGTCATGCATCTCATTAAAGGAATATCTAACTCTAGAACCAGATCATATGATCCCTGGTTCAATATGCATAATACTCAATCATACAGATTTTTTGGCATCAAGTATCTAACACTTCAGTAGAAGAACCTGAAACATGGAAATGCCCCAGGGAGTTGGCATGCAGGTGGCTGAATTCTCTAACTACTTCTTCACCTGCCCCAGGACATTCTCCATCTTGAAGGCAACTCCTTGGAGAAAAGGACCATGAATGAATTGTTG